CTTGAGCAGCCAGAAAGTCTTGAAGATAAGGCTCGGTTGCATTCAAGGGTAGCCGTGTGCTAGCTTCAACATTTGGAGGGAGCTCCAAAAAGCCCTGAGAGAAGAATCCGGTGCTAGCTGCCAGGTGCGCCGTTAAGGTCTCCAGTGATTGTCTTTCGAGCTTAGGCGACTTGCAGCTCAAGTTGCGAGCGTTCGAGAGCAGGTATGCTACAGCAACTTCGTCAGTGAGGACGGCGCCAGCCAAATCTTCTACTTTCTTCAGTCCTATCCTCATTGTGTCGTCAGAGACTTCATCTTCTCCGAACGCCTTCTCAGCTTTGTATCCCACACACTCTGCAAGAGCTCGGGTTTAGGGGTTTAGGGGTTTAGGGTTTTGAGGTTGAGGGTTTCAAGGTTTTAGGGGTTTTAGGGGTTTAGGGGTTTAGGGTTTTGAGGTTGAGGGTTTCAAGGTTTTAGGGGTTTAGGGTTTTGGGGGTTTTCGGGCTTTAGGGGTTTTAGGGGTTTTAGGGGTTTTAGGGCTTTAGGGGTTTTAGGGTTTTAGGGGTTTAGGGTTTTGAGGTTGAGGGTTTCAAGGTTTTAGGGGTTTCGGGTTTTGGGGTTTTAGGGGTTTAGGGTTTTAGGGTTTTCGGGTTTAGGGTTTAGGCCTCAAGGTTCGAGGTGTCGGGTGCAGGGTTCACGGTTTCGGCCTCAGGGTTTAGGGTTTCGGCGTTTAGGGTTTAGGGTTTAGGGTTTAGGGTTTAGGATTTTCGGATGGCCGAACAAATCGTCAAATCTAACTGAATTACGCACTACTTTAATGGGGTGGGTATCGATGTCGAGGTACTGCTTGTCCTCTGTGTGCACCACGACTGGTTCTCTATGATAACCATACGCATCGCGAGGAATCAAGTAGTGTTCGAGATTGGCGCCGCAATGAAGCAGCGGCTTGGTGTGACCAGCTGCATCTGTCTGTTCAAACGATGATCTTTGCCTGCTGTGGCACGTTTCCATATGTTCCTTGTACCAACAAGAGTTCACTGCTGAGTGGGCAGTTGAAAACTCTATGTTTCTTAATTCTCTGGGATACTTTTGGGCGGGCGGGTGCTTTGCCAGATTTACAACTGCGCTGCTAGCCTAGTGATAACTTCGCCAAGCTAATCGTAAACCCTCAACCCCAAACCCCAAAACCCTGAACCCCAGAACATAAGCCCTACTTGGAGGATCATGGGACTTAGCAAATTGGGTTATAACTGCCTTCATTGGGGTTGTAAGTACCTACAAGTACAGTTACCTTATTTATAAGCCCACTTACTAAGTCCCATGATCCTTTAGGTAGCCCTATAAACCCTGAAGCTCAAGACATAAGCCCTAGCCCTATAAACCCTAAAACCTAAACGCCTAAACCCCTAAACCCTAAACCCTATAAACCCTACTTGGAGGCCCTTTTGACTTAGCAAGTAGGGTTAGTAAGGTGGGTTACGAGGATTATAATAGGGTTTCTAGGGGATACTAAGTAGACCTACTAAGTCAAAAGGGCCTCCAAGTAGGCCTATACACCCTAAAGCCCAAGACTAAGATTACAGCGCCGCCCTGGCCTCCAGCTCCTTCACCTTGGCATCCATCTCCCTGGCCCAGGAATCACTTAAAGGATCATGGGACTTAGTAAGTGGCTTGTAATTCAGGTAACTACACTTATAATTACTTTTAACCCCAATTGAGGTACTTATAACTGTACTTACCAAGGAATCAGGGGTTTGGCGAGTTTTTTGTGTTTAGGGGTTTGGGGCTAGGGTGAGGGGTTAGGGGTTTAGGGGTTTAGGATTTAGAAATCAGGGGTTAAGAAATTTATGAAGCTTTCCAGGTAAGTTAAGTACAAGTTTTAATCAGGATTGGGGGGTCTAATATAGAGACCTTAGTATTTACCTATACTGTCGATTCCTTATTATTCTACATCAAGGTAGACCCAGGAGTAACCTCGGAATAGGAAGGTGCCCTTTTTGATTTAAGGGGCTTATACGGGAACCTGAACCCTGGAAAAGGGAATAAGGGCCTACTCTAGGTCCTAGTTGCTTAGTGTGCAAGTTCGGACGTCGATCATCTGCTGAAGGCTCAAAAACCCCAAAGCCTAAAACCCCCGTAACCAAATAATAGAGGGTGAAGGGCGTGGTTCGAGGGCTCGGGGCTGTCCTGCACACCCAGAGACTCCTGAATTACGGAATATGCGTTGAGTTATAAGGGGATCCTTATTAAGATCCACTTTATACTCCCCACCCCAAGGGGTTTTGGAGTCTCTTGGCACGTGCTGAGATGGTGCTGTTTTGGCGCCCATTGGCATGCTTCTCAACAGGCTTGTCCCAGCTCGAGGAATAGAAATCACACGCAGGGCTTTGCAGCCTAGCCGTTGTAAAACTTTCAAGAAGGAAGTTGCGACCTAAGCTAAACCCTGAAACCCAAAAAGGCCGAAAAAGTACCCTAAACCCTAAACCCTAAACTCTATACATACCCTAAACCCAAAACCCCACACCGGTACCCTAGACCTTCACATCCTGAAGCCTGAGAAACTCTACTCCTTAAACCCTATATCCTAGGTTTAGGGTTTAGGGTTTAGGGCGGTCCTCAACCCTGGTCCTGAACCCTAGAGCCATAGACACCAAACCCCAAAGCATAAACCTTACCCTAAGGGTCCATGTACTCATACAGTATATACATTGGCCTTAATGTAGTCCCTAAATAGGTACTTTGGGGCTCATGTATCTCTAAATATGAGTACATGGACCCTTAGGGTTATAGCCCCAAGCCCAAAAACATAAACCCTAGCCCCGAATCCATAACCTTAGCACTGAACTATACAGCGCTGAGACAACCCTGGCACGAAACCGTCTTTTGCGGTGCACATCCTGTTAAAAGCAGCCGGCGGCTTTTTCTCGAAGGATTTCATTTGAAGGGTAGGGGTTCAGGATCAAGAGTGCAGGGTGTGATTTAGGGACGAGTCTTTTGGGGCACGTTGTACTGGAACCCTATCCTAGGGTGTGGGCGTTCAGGCTCCGGTTGCATGGCTCGGGGCAGTAGGGTGTTGGGTTTGAGTAGGTTCCTTAAGGGAGGGTGGTAACCCTAACCCTTGAATCCTGGAGGATGTAGAGTTTAGGGCTTTAGGGTTTTAGGGTTTAGGGTTTTAGGGCTTTAGGGCTTCAGGCTTGGAGTTTAGGGTTTTCGGCTTTAAGGTTTTAGGGCTCAGGGTTTTAGGGTTTACGGTTTAAGGCTTGGGGTTTGGGGTTTGAGGGCCTGGGCTGAAAAGGACCCTGAAACCATGGAATCACAACATCCCAGACCTTCCAAAATCCCTTAATTAAGGGATGGGGTAGAGTTCCTAGGGCTCCTTTAAATGGTACTAACAAGGCTCCTTTAAGGGATCTATAGGGTTTAGGGCCCAGACCTTCCAAAATCCCTTGTTTTAAGGAAGATACCTTAAATTGTATTAGGGAACCCTAATATGAATTAACTAGGATACCCAGTAACCTAAGAATAAAAAGGCCTCTCTTTTTTGGTTTTGGGTAACTTTATAAGGAACCTAGGACTACAAAAAGGAAATAAGGGTACAACTGGACATCCTAGTTAAGGTGTATTCCTTAATGAAGGGATTTTGGAAGGTCTGGGATTTTGTAATCGAAGCCCTGAAGTTGGGAGTTAGGATTAGCGGGACCCTCGGGGATATAGACCCTCTCAATAAGATCCCTTTAAAGAGAGCCAGAAGTAGGGTTCGGAAGGGGTACCCTTTAAGGGGTCTCCCTCATCATGCTACCCAGAAGTGCAACAGAAGGTGAATGCTCAGACTTCAAACCTTAAATCCTTCCTTGCTGAGGAAGAGCCGCTATCGACCGCACTGGGCTTTTCTAACCTATCACCAGGAGACTTGGCAAGTAATTCATTAAAACTGCTACGCATACGCCTTCCTGGCTTCCTTCGTAGGGTTCTTAACAAAATTCTATAAGCAGAGGTCCTGGTAAGTAGCCTCTATGCAAACCTATAAGGGTTGCCTGAACGTCTGAAGCCATCCCAAACCCCGGCGCCTACTGCCATTTTATAAGGCATTTTGAAAATTCAATTCCTGACAGCCCGAAATCCAAAGCCACGGCTTCTTCAGCTCCCAGGCTCTTTACCCAAAGCTCCACAGAAGTGCTAACACAGTGTTGATTCGGGATTCATATGCAAGCTCCATGAGCATACAATGCATCGGCACAGTGTAGATGATTACAAACTATACTGTTTTGTATGCTCTTATGGAGAAACCTATTCATAAACAACCTATGAGAGGATGGGGCGGGGGGGGGGTGTAATAATGGTTACTTTCAGGGTTTGAGAAACAACCCTGAACCCTCAACCCCGCACCCAACACAATGTCTGAACAGACATGCGCACGAAACCATAATCTCCCAATGCAAGGGCTTTGACACTCTGCTTTCAGGCACATTCGTGTATTGTCATATAGGGACTACGAAAGGATTTCTATATACAACTATTTACCTGCATGTGAAACCAAATCGCTTGCAGGCTTCCTTTATAAATTGCAGGTCCTGTAGTTCCGTCCGACTCCTGGTGTTAATCTTAGGCATGCGCCGCAAAAGGCAACCGAGCATGCGAGAGGGTTCTGCAACTCAGCGTTCCGCATTTAGTGCTCCCTATGCTTTAAGAGTCTCGCCTTGCTCTCGTGCTCCAACATAGGACCCGAATTGAAAACAACGACCCATGGGTAGTTATCAAAATTAAGGTCTCTTTTTGGGTACCCTAAATAATAGGTGCCGTATTATAATAAGGACCCAAAAAAGGATCCTAATTTTGACAACCACCCCCCATGTCTCCCAGCGATTGCTGGCAAGGCGACGCGTCGCAACTCATGCCTTCAAATCGAAGCCAGGCTGTCTAAACCCCTACACCCTAAACCCTAAAACCCTAAACCGAAACACCCTACATTGAACTCTAAACTCTAAACCCCAAACCCCCTAAACCCTAAACCTAAACTTCGCTCACTTGCCGTAACCTTTGCCGCGCTTTCCTGCAGGGCTCGCCGGCTCGATGGGTTTTGTAACCCAAATAGTCCTAAGTGGTTATATGGGAGTTACACCTACTTGGAGGCCCTGTTGACTTAGTAAGTCTACTTAGTATCCCCCAGATACCCTAATATAATCCCCATAACCCACCTTACTAACCCTACTTACTAAGTCAAAAGGGCCTCCAAGTAGTCCTAAGTGGTTATATGGGAGTTACACCTACGCAAAACATCATCGTAGTTCCTAGAATGGAACCCCTAGTTTCTACTATATCGGTACTTAGGACCCTTTGGGTAACGGCTTTTACAACGGTTCTGCAACATCAGAATCTAGATACTCCATAACCCTACAATAATGAGGGTAATCTTGTTCCTATGGCTGAGTTTTAATCAGCGGGCCCTAAACCAAAAGGGCATGAGGTCATGACTGAAGGGCATAGTGATCGGTTTGGAGCTCACTTGGAGGATCAGGGGACTTACTAAGCAAGATGTGCCAGGCTACAAATACCATTGCCCAACGAGGGTTCAGGCTTCAGGATTAAGGTAACGGTAACCCTGCTTTAATGGAACACACCCCAAAACCCCAAATCCTAAACCCTACGCACCCACATAGAACGAAACTCACGAGCCCAAAAAGCACGCACCGTGAACTCTTTGCCCAAACCTCAACGCCAAAGCCCTGCATCAAGGGACCGGCAAGTGAGGGTTTAGGGTTTAGGGATCGGACACTCTAACCCACGCCCACGTGTGAGAGGTACTCCTACAAGGCAACACGAAAAAAGAAACGCCTAAACCGCTCACAAACCCCTACTTGGAGGCCCTTTTGACTTAGTAAGTAGGGTTAGTAAGGTGGGTTATGGGGATTATAATGGGGTTTCTAGGGGATACTAAGTAGACTTACTAAGTCAAAAGGGCCTCCAAGTAAGCCCCCAGACCTCCAAACACCGAAAGCCTCAAGAAGCACAACGCTTAAACAAACAGCAAGTACGTTGATCAAAACCCGGAAACCCCAAAATCAAGAATCAAGAATCTATAAACCATGGAAACACCCCTAAACCCTAAACCCCTAAACCCTAAACCCTAAACCCTAAACCCCTAAACCCACAAAAGTTCTCGCCGAAGGTGCCGCCACTTTGCGGCTTCACGGCTACCGCCCAGGCACCAGCCCCGCCACCCTTCTTGCCGCCCTGCGCATCGCGAGGATCTATAGGGGTTTAGGGTTTAGGGTTTAGGGTTTAGGGTTTAGGGCATCGCGAGGATCTATAGGGTTCCCCTAAAGGGATCTATAGGGCTTCCTTATAGGGATCTATAGGGTTTAGGGTTTAGGGTCTACTTGGAGGATCATGAGACTTCGTAAGTAAGGTAAGTACGTTATTAATCGGGGTTACAAGTAGCTACAAGTATAGTTACCTTATTTGTAACCTCACTTACTAAGTCTCATGGTCCTCCAAGTATACTCTCAGTTCGGTTCAGGGTTTAGGGCCTGGAACTTATGCAGGCTTCCGGCTCGAATTAGGCTTTTACAGCCTTTGATTAAGGTTTCAAAAACGCGCTTTTTAAGAGCTTGTAGAAGGGTGCAGGGCGGGTGTAGTCGGATTTTGTGGGTGTCCTAGCCGGATTTGAGAAAGAGGTTAACGGGTTCTAAACTCAGGTGTAAACTGGAACCCTGACCAATAAACCCTGAATCCTAGAGCCTATAAACTCAAACCCTAAATCCTTAGTTACTTTGGTTCCTAAACCCTAAACCCTAAACCCTAAATCCTTGGTTCCTTTGAAAAGGTTTGGTACCGGCTGTCAGAGCCGCAGGGCCGCTGGGAGGTTTCGCGGATGGTGGGCCCCATGTCTCGGTTCATCTGCCTTGATACCCTTTAAGGGTTTAGGGTTTAGGATTTAAGGTTTTAGGGCTTAGGATTTAAGGTTTTAGGGTTTAGGATTTAGGGTTTCAGGGTTTAGGATTTAGGGTTTTAGGGTTTTTTTTAAAGTTGAACTGCACCCTTTCTCCGAAAAAGCGCTGGCATTTTGCCCTCAACTAGGTGAAACATCCTCCGAACTTGTAGCCGTCATAGTCCGCACATCCAGTTGTTCATAAAGGGTTTAGGGTTTAGGATTTAGGGTTTTAGGGTGTTAGGGCTTAGGGTTTTAGGGTTTTAGGGCTTAGGGTTTTAGGGTTTTAGGGCTTAGGGTTTTAGGGTTTTAGGGTTTTAGGTTTAGGGGTTTAGCCCGTATGCTCTCTCCTTCAATACCTGGGCCCGACAAAGTTTAAGCTTTCTAAGACAGACCAAATGTACAAAGCCAAAAAATTTAAAGTTCCCAACTGGCCATCTAAGTCTGGTCCCTAATAGTGGGTATTTAGGATATGTTAAAATTTAGAGGGTAATTGGAGCGTCTAGGCTCGGATTCAGCTTAGTATATACATGAAATTATAGGGGGCCTTAATTTTCCCTATCCCTCCAAGGACCTCATAGTTAGGGCCCTGGACCCCTTAAGGACCCCATAAAAAGGTCCCTGGAGGCATAGGGATTATGGTTTAACCTTAATTTAAGGGGTAGTGGGATCTCTGGGCCTGATGTTGCAGGGTTCAGGGGTTTTTAGGCTTCAGGGCTGAAGAGAGTTCTTGGAGGCCCTTTTGACTTAGTAAGTCTACTTAGTATCCCCTAGAAACCCCGTTATAATCCCCATAGCCCACCTTACCAACCCTACTTACTAAGTCAAAAGGGCCTCCAAGCAGGTTCCCCCCCCCATTACAGTAAAAGCCCAAAAGTTGGAAACCCCATAGCCTCAATCCTTAAGAGCAATGTAAGGGGAATCCCAAAACTGTTTAGCCTTAATCCGGTTTCCAACTTTTTGGGGTTTACTGTATCCCGGAACAGCACAGGCTTAGAACACCGGTTTGGGGACTAAACTCCAAGGGTAACAGGAGGGACCCTTAATAAGGACCCCTAGGTATATACCCTTAATGCAGCTATTATATACCCAGTATAACCATTATATAGCCCATTATGGGGTAGGGGTCCCCATTAAGGGTCCCTCCTTTTCCCCTTTGAGTGTAGAACACCGGCTTTGGGGACTAAACCCCAACAACCCACAGACCAAACGCCAAGCCCTACCCTAAGGCTCACAAGAGGGTTTTGGGCTTTCTGGGGGAGGGTTTCGGCTTTGGGGGCGAGGGTTTGGGACCTCACTACAAGGGTGCAGGAGCCGTAGGGTAAAGATTGAACCTTAAACCCCTAAAGCGTGAACCCCCAACCGCTAAACCCTAAACCCTAACGGAACCCTTAAAGGATCCCTGGATCCGAAATGTTTAACCATCCCCCCTAAACAAAAAAGCCCTAAAGCCCTAAAGCCTAAACCCTAAACCCCTAAACCCTAAGCCCCAAGCCCCAAGCCCCAAACCCTAACCCCCCCCAGGCCTTGCACCATTAAAAGGGCCCCAAAAAAGCACATAAGCAAAAATTAGGATAGGGATATCCCATATAAGCCCCCTTATCATGAAGCCCAATAATATGTAGGGATCTCCCTATAAAATGCTTGTGCTTCTGTGCTTTTTGGGTCCCTAAAACATCTCCGAACTCAGCAGTGGGACCTTGGCGGGCCAAGGCTCGGACGCCTGCTTCAAATTCTGCCTCGGCTGGAGGGGTTAGGCTTCAAAAGTCCCTTGAATAAGGGGTATGGTAGAGTTCCTAGGGTTCCTTTTGAAGGGTACGAAAAGGGCTCCCTTAAGGGATCTACCAAACCTTCCAAAATCCCATAATTAAGGAATATACCTTAATTCACAATAGGATCCCTATTATAGTTTAAAGTATATTCCTTAATTAAGGGAGTTTGGAAGGTCTGGGAAGGGGTTAGGGTCTCAGCCACGGAACGTAGCACGTGGTGTTAGGGTTTGGGGTTTAGGGGTTAAGGGCTAGGGTTTTGGGTTTTGGGGTTTTGGGTCTAGGGTGTAGGGTTGAAGGTTTACGGCTTAAGTAGGTATAGGAATGCACCTGAACTATAGTAGGATCCCTCAAGTGAAGGTTTAGTCCTTAACTAGGATACCCAGTAACCTAAGAATAAAAAGGCCTCTCTTTGTGGTATTGGGTAACTTTATAAGGAACGTAGGACTACAAAAAGGGAATAAGGGTACTACTGGGCATCCTAGTTAATTGAGGGATTTGGAAGGTCTGGTTGAAGCAGGTTGCGGGCTCTTCCGGAGTGTGTAGGGTATAACATAGGGCTTGTGGGGTTTAGGATTTGGGGCTGAGGGCTCAAGGTTTGAGAGGTTTTAGGAGGGCGTCACGAGTTTCTACAAGGGGTTTACGAAGGTTTGGATCACGGATTAACGGGGCTCTACACAGATGGGTGGTTTTGAAAATTAGGGTCCCTTTCTGGGTCCTTGTTTATAATACGGCACCTATTATTTGGGACCATAATGTTTACAACTACCCAGATGTTGAAGTATTACAAGGTCTTGGAGGATTTCAACTTTGGGGCTGTGGGCTGGAAGATTACTTGGAGGCCAAAAATTTTTGACTTAGTAGCTAGGGTTAGTAAGGTGGATTATGGGGATTATAACAGGGTTTATAGGGGATCCTAAGTAGACTTACTAAGTCAAAAGGGCCTCCAAGTAGGGTTTAGGCTTCAGGGCTTAGGCTTTAGTGCTTAGTAAGAGTTTTGAAGCCGAAAGTTGGGATGCTGAAAGGAACCCTCAAAGAAGCCGTTGGAAAAGCCTCAAAAAAACCTTAAAGGAACCCTTAAGCGTATGTTAACACCAACTGTGCAGACCTCTCGATTTTGGAGAGATGTGAGTCTGAGGGCTTCCGGGCCCAAGTTTCAACATCCAAGAGACGCCTTTGTTGGCTTAGGGCTTCGGTTTTTTGGATTATGTAAGGGTTTAGGTTTAAGGTCTAGTGGGAGTTTCCGAAAATAGGGGACCCTAATACAGTACCCTAAATAATAGGATCCCTATTCTAAGGACCCCCAAATAGGGAACCCCTAATTTTCGGAAACCCCCCTAGTGTGGCTGATCCCTAAACCCTAAACCCTAAACCCTAAACCCTAAACCGTTCACAAAACCCGTCCCCCGGCCCAGCAACTTTGGGCAAAGTCTCCTTCTAAGGAGATACGGTCCATCTTCTTAGGGGGGCTTTGGTTTAGGGTTTAGGGTTTAGGGTTTAGGGTTTAGGGACAACCCCAAGAATGAAGCTCATGCCCGGATCCGGGAAAAGCTACAAGGAACAACAGATCCTTTCATAGTGCCCCTATGGATTTAACCTTAACGCACGTTTCTCCTGGACCTTGAACCCTACAAAACCATAAACCCCAAACCATGAACCCCCCTGGACCCAGGATTAAGGAGGGAACAGCGAGGTGGGGTTTGGCCGAAGCCGTCTCCCCATCTCCGAAGGCCCTCCAGCAGGTGCTGCGGGAGTAGGGTACCCTAACTAGTAACTAGTACCCTACATAGTAGGATCCTTATCATAAGGACCAAAAAAAGGTACCCCTTTTTTGGAAACTCCCACGTGCCATGCGCCGACAGCACCATGATGGTTCTGTCGGCGCTTGCGTGAGGCGGTGCCCGTCAGGCGGGCGGCAGCCATCGTCGGGGCTGGTTCCGACGTGACAGTTTCAGACTCATTGTTGATCTGCGTCTCGACTGTCTTGGCCAGTCGGTAGTAGTCGCTGTGGGTGCACATCCACGGGTCAGTGGAGCGGGCCGCCTCGGCCGCAAGCGCCATTGCCGGTTCGAGCAGGGCCACAGCGTTTCTTTGCTGCCTCCATAAAGGATCAGCGCGAAGCTGGGGGGGATCCAGGCGAAGCATCCAGAGACTCCAATATCCCTCAATTAAGGAGTATTCCTTACGTCATTTTACGGATCCTACTAGAATTTAAGGTATGCTTCTGCATCAAGGGATATTGGGAGTCGCTGGGGCATCACATTCTAAAGCCTGACATCTCCATGTATGATGCCATTGTCTAGACCCAGGAGTAGCCTAGGAATAAAAAGGGTGCCCTTTTTGGTTTAAAGGAGCTTATAAGGGAACCGGAACCCCCAAAAAAGGGAATAAGGGCCTACTCTAGGTCCTAGTTGTGGTGGAGAATATTGAGAGCCGTACTCACGTCAAAATAAACCCTAAACCCTGAGCCTTGTCTAACCAGTGGTTTTGGGGGTTCCCTTGGCTCTTTAGTTCCTTATTTAATAGGGATTATCATCATCCCTGGCTCCTTAGCTCCCATAATATCAATGGTTAGTTGTAAAGCCCTGATTTGGAGCATTTTTCTAAGCCAGGATACGAGTGGCGAACGACGGCCTTCACCTCAGCGGCCCAAAGTTTAGGGTATAGGATCTCTTAAGGTAAGCGGGTAGGGTTTAGCGCTTAGGATCTCTTTAGGTTACGGATTTCGGGTGTAAGGTTTCGGGTTTTTTTGAGGTATAGGGTTTAGGATCTCTTAAGGTTTAAGTTGCCTTCAAGGGCTTTCTAGAACGGCCCTACTTGGAGGATCATGAAACTGAGTAAGTATAGGGTTACAAATAAGGTAACTAGACTCATAACTAATCACTTAACCCAATTAAGGTACTTAGAACCGTACTTACTAAGTCCCATGGTCCTCCAAGTAGGCCCTTAACTCGAAGCTTCTTCACGTTAACGCGGGATCCGAAGAGCTCTGCGCAAACGAAACTGCGGATCAAAAGCGACCCCTAAAAGGACCTTCAAAGGAACCCTTAAAGCGCCCCTGACAGGATCTCTTACAGGATCTTCAAGAACCCATTAAAGGATCCGGCTGCGGCCTGGAAAAAATGGGAAGAGCAATCTGACGTAAAGTACCCGAAACCACGGAACACCAAAGATCTAAAAACCCTAAACCTTGCACCCTACATCAAACCTTACGCCCAGAAGCCCAAAGCTTAAACATCCTGAACAGCTCTTAGGGTTTAGGGGTTTAGGGTTTAGGGTTTAGGGGTTTAGGGTTTAGGGTTTAGGGTTTAGGGGTTTAGGGGTTAGGGGTTTAGGGTTTAGGGCAACCCTCAAAACAAACCCGTCGCCCCTATATGAAAAACCTTGGAAACCTTGAAAGGAACGACGAAAACCCTAGAACCCAAATTAGGCCTATACCCTAGGACCCTAAACCCTAAACACCCTAAGCCACCCACGGGTCCTAAACCCTGAACAAGTGTGGAGAGGAAAGCCCTACAAGACCTTAACAGACCCTGAACCCAAAGCCCTGAACCTGCAAAGAAATCCTTGAAGAATCCCTTCTTGATCCCGTAGATGAACCCGTATACGAACCTTCAAAGGAATTTGTAAGGAACCCACTTGGAGGCCCTGTTGAATTTGTAAGTCTACTTAGTATCCCCCAGAAACCCTAATATAATCCCCATAAGCCACCTTACTAACCCTACTTACTAAGTCAAAAGGGCCTCCAAGCAGAGGAACCCTCAAAGAAACCCTTGCGGAGGAGGCCAAGGGTCGATGTAGGAGTTGGGATTCCAAATCTCGCCCGCGCCGGCTTTGCCCTGGTACCATTTGGGTGCTTGTGAAAAACTATGGTCCCTTTTTGGGTCTTTAATATAATACGGCACCTAATATTTAGGGTACCCAAGAAAGGGACCATAATTTTGACAACTACCCATTTAAAGCTTGAGGGTTCAAGGGTGCAGGGTTTGGGGTTCAAGGATTTGGGGGATTCGGCCTTACGGTTTAAGGGTTCGGGGTTTACATAAGGTTTACGGGTTAAGGGTGAGGGCTACGGGTTCGGGTACTAGCCTTGCCTCATTGGGTGTTGATGGAGATTTTAGAGGTTTTGAAAACAGTTTAAGGTGATTAATATGTGGGTTCCTTTAATGGGTTCCTTTAAGGGTTTAGGGTACGGGTGATTACTTTGTAACTATGGTTGTCATAAGGTTTAAGGGTTGGGGAATCTAAGGTACAGAACTCTCATTTTGAAAATGCCAGACGATGACTATGAAAACAAAAAACAAAACCAAAGGCAACTCATACCCTAAACCCTAAACATAAGGTTTAGGGTATAGTACCATCTAAGGATAACCATGACTTTGTGCTTGCAATTTTCTATACCCCGAACCCTTTATACTTTAAAGGGCCCATCCGGGAAGCCCTTTTAGGAACCCTTAAAGGCACCCTGAAAGGAACCCCCTTAAAGGACCCCATCAAGGGTCGGGACTCGGCAGGTAGGGCCTGCTTGCGAGGTTTCCGGAACATCAGAAATCTATGCGAGCAGACCGTTTACCTACACCCTACCGGGACCCCAAATTATCTACCGGTTTCGGGTTTCTTTTACGAACTGCGTATGTAGGTCCTTACAAGGGTAGGCAATTCAGGGTTAAGGTAAACTTTAACACGTAAACCTTGAACTGTAAGGGTTCAGGGCTTTCGGGCTTAAGGTCTTTAGGGCGAAGCGGTTTAGGTTGAAGGGTAGGGTGTAGGATTTGAGCCTGAACAGCAGCAAAGAAACGTTACGGATATGTTACAGTAGTGTTGTTGTATCCTTCGAAACTTAGTACCTTTTCAGACCGCTAGATAGTACGATTCAGGGTTCAATGGCTAGGGATTTAGGATGTTACGGGCTCAGAAGAGGAAGGAGTTTCAGGTTTGGGGAAAGAGTGTGGGATTTAGGGTTATGGCTGAGGGAGGGGTTTAGGACACAAGTGATGGCTTTAGGGTGTAGCTCGGTAGAGCCATAAGACGTCAAAGGTCTACGTAATTTCACGAGAACCTCAATTTCTCCAAAACCGAAGCCGTTAACGGGGTCCTCAATGTTCTCGAGGATTGACATTGCCCGGTCGATGGGGAGTCCACCCAGCATCTCCTCGTCTAGGGGTCTTTCTTGCGAGCAGGGAAAGCAGGGGCCAGGGTCATGTCATGTGAGGGAACACGAAGCTTTCACGGTTAACGGGATTCGCACCCAAGAAGGCTTGAAAACGTTCGATAACATGGGAGTTTCCGAAAATAGGGGTACCTTATTTGGGGGTCCTCATAATAGGGATCCTACTATTTACGGTACTACATTAGGGTCCCCTATTTTCGGAAACCCCCATATCGCTGTAGGGGTTTACATGGTTTTGAAAGCCGTCCTCGAAGTTCTGAGGTTTTTCGGACTTAAACCTCCACTTGGAGGCCCTTTTGACTTAGTAAGTAGGGTTAGTAAGGTGGGTTATGCGGATTATAATAGGGTTTCTGCAGGATACTAAGTAGACCTACTAAGTCAACAGGGCCTCCAAGTAACCTGAAGCCCTACAGCCTACATCCTGGAAATCCAAACGCATACCCTAAGGGTCCATATGCCTAATATTCGTATACTCTCCCAAATACTTATAGCTACTATCATAAACCAAGGTGTCAACCTTCGTAGAACCCTTATAAGCTTCTCCAAGACCTGAGCAACATTCAGGGTGTGGCAGTTGAAGGTTGGAAGGCTTTCCGGCTATATGAGAGTCGAACCAGAAGCCTCGGTAACTAGGCTAAGACTTTGCAGGATTTTGCTACCCAGAACTTCCAAAATCCCTTAATTAAGGAATATACCTTTATTCATATTAAGGATCCCATTATAATTTAAGGTATATTCCTGAATTAAAGGATTTTGGATGGTCTGGGTAGAGTCTTTTCCATCGGGCGTTACATGGTCTCAGTATCGTTGCCTTACGAATAAGAGGATGGTCTTGGGGCTTGGCTGCGAGGTTCGACGATTTAAGAATATGACGTTTCTAGGTAAATCGAACGAATGGCATTGCAAAGTTGGTCTTCTTGTTGGTTTTCGGCATTTAGGCTTCGGGCTTAGGGCTACTAAACCCTAGAGTACCACTATAGTACCCTTAAAGGAACCCTATAATACCCCTATAGTACCCTAAAAGGAATCCCTACTTACGGGTGTCCATCGCCATCTTAGCACCAGGTTCTTTTCTTGGGCTTCGTTCCGGGCCTGGCAGGCCCTCAGCGGTTTAGGGATTTAGGGGTGTAGGGTTTAGGGTGTTGTTCAGGCTTTCGGCTTTAGTTTGTAGGGTTGCTGCCAGAAGCCCTAACCCTCACTCCACAGCTAATCACCCGGAACTTGGTGGGATGTAAGCTTTCAGAAAGGCGCTGTCGATAAGAGGCCAGGTCCAATTCCCTTGTATCAAACCATACTTAAGCTCAAGACCTACACCCTGAATGTTTCTGTGTTTTCACCTAGGGTAGCGATCGCGTTTTCTTTTAGGGTTTAGCGACACAAACTTGATAATAATGACTCCCTGAAACCCGAAACCTAAATCACGATCACTAAAGTAGGCACCTGATGAACAGAACTTCCCTGTCTTAACACCCCGTTTATAGAACCCTTATGGAGCCCTTAAACAAGCCACCTGCATTGAAGGAGCCCCATTCCGCTTATTCAGGCCCCTCCGCTTGGAGGGTCGGGGGACTTAGTAACTGGTTATTTTATGCCATATCCCCAAGTAGGGTCCCTTTTAGGGTACAGTACTTATAAATCTACTTACTACCTACTTACTAAGTCCCCCGACCCTCCAAGTAATCTCACGCCTTGGGGCATACCTTATGGAACCCTTTAAAAATTAACTCCCTTCGAAGGAACCCTCAAAGGAGCCCTGCTGCAAGTTTTAAAGCCCCTTTATGAAGTGATTCCCTAAGCCCTTAACCCGTAAACCCCAAACGATCCTAGGTGGTCAGGGCTTTTTCTGAAAAGGTGCGACGGCGTCTTCGTCGATCTCGGCCTCACCGAAGAAGCCTTGGCTCAAGGGCTTGAGGTCCCAAAAGGGTCGCTTGTAAGGGTACTAAAAGCCTTTTGAAACCCTATGGACCAGTGCAGTCGGGTCTGGATATTATTGGTGGAAGGCCAAAAGGGTGGTTTAAGATTCTTGGGGTAGGGATTCCTTATGAACCCTATTCTGGGAACCCTAACCCCTACTAAACCCCCATAGGCTAAAACCCCTTTTGGCCTCCTATGAATTATACCCAACGAGTTTCCGGGAGCCCCCACCCCGAAGTGGCTGAGAAAGCAGAACCGAGCGAGTCCAAAACCCATCATACAGTGTACTAAAGTCGGGTTTCGGGTTTCCGGTTTGGGAAAAGTTTCCTACAAGAGTTCCTTAAACGGCTCCCTTCGGGGCTTATGGCTTAAATAGAGCACCGATGAATATGGGTGGTTGTCAAAATTAGCGTCCCTTGTTGGGTACCATAAATATTAGGAACCGTATTATAATCGGTACCCAAAAAAGGGACCATAATTTTGACAACCACCCATGTGTCAGGTATATTCCTTGCCTGGGTTTAAAAGTCTTGCCACACCAGGTTTCGTCCGTGTGCATGACCCTGATGTGACACCACGTACGAGTAGTTCTTCAGGGTTCGCGTTTGTTAGTTATAATTAATACGATAACAGATCCCAAAGCATAATTACTCTAATTACTATGAGGCTCCGACATTAGGCTTTCATATTACGAACGGCCGGAAAAAGGAGAGGAAGGCGTTCTTGTTCACTTGCGATAGTGCGTCCTTCAGCATGCCGGCAGTGCTGCTGCTGCGACTAGTGGTCAAAAGCCACCATCCGTCTTCGTTGCTCAATGCCTGAGGGCCCAGCTCCTTGATCGTCCAATAGAACGTCTGCAGCTTCCCGTAGTTCTACGGTTTGACTTGGTTGCCTGGAGCTACTTCAGATGCAGAGGGTACAGCAGTGTTCTGTCGAGCCTGGATTCCCTTATAGAACCCTTATAGTAGCCCTCAAAGAACCCTTATAGCAACCTTTGTAGAACCCTTACAGCAGCCCTTAAAGAACCCTTGTAATTTAGTAACGCATATATTATAGAACCCGTATGCCACCGAGTGGAACAAGGTCCCGTGGAGACGCTCTGAAAATTGCCGGCACGGTCTAGTTTACGGTTTCGGGTTTAGAGGGTTAGGGTTTAGGTGTTAGAGCATCGCAGGCAGTACCAAGCCCCCTCTGGGCAGAGTATAGTTACCTTCTTTACAACACTACTTACCAAGTCCCGTGATCCTATCTCTAAGCCCCAAATGCCTGAACGGAACCCTGCCGCGGCCAGGCAGCCCTCTCGGTTCAGCCAGTTCACCTGCCGCCGGGAGTAGGGTTTAGGGTTTAGGGCCGGGAAGAGGTTTTCGCGTGAGATCAGCATCTATGACTATTGTTTAGGGTGCTAAAGGGATTCTATCAAGGGTTAAGGGTTAAGGGTTTTTTTTGATAATGATAGCGGACCTTTTTCCATAGCCTGCTAACCCTGACGGGCCCATTGAGTGAGACAGATCCGAGACAGCGCTTACAGCATATTTCAAACCAGACTTCGCCACTTCGGATCCCATACTGCCAGTCAGCTTCACATCCACACATCATTTCCCAGCAGCTTCCCTTTCAAACCCTTTCACATCTGTCATGTTCAAGCCCTCATTTTCCGGAATCAACTGCTCATCCACAGACTCCATATCATCAATCAACCCCATCGTCCAGTGACACGCCCCGGGGTAACGCAGCACTCATAACCCCCGTGGTTGTCGTTGTACCCGCGGTGGTCGAGGTAGTAGAGGATGCTCCCACGCGGTCGTTGGTACAAACCCTTCCGGGGCATTCGGAATCACCGGCGTGACTGTTCCGTCGGTATGGTACCAAGTGGAGGGGGCGGTCGCATCGGTCGGAAGACTGACCCACTGTGTGCCATCCCAGTGTGCTGACCGACCCCACCAGTTTGTCCCTGCAACGCAGTCAGCATCGCATTCGTCCCATGTCCAGGCATCGTGGGTGTTGTCCCACCAGGTGAACCATGCAGCGGATTCATTCCCAGCATCTGAGAGTGTCCAGCTATGAAGGGTCTCGCTCCACTGGTTTATCCTTGCAACGTAGCCAGCATCGCGGTCCCATGTCCAGGCATCGCGGGCGTCGTCATACCATGTGGACCATGCAACGGATTTATCCCCCGCATTTGAGAATGCCCAGTCACCACCCCAGGCGAAGTGTTCGATGTAGCAGCATCAACCACTGATGGCAACGGTGGGGCCTGGAATCGAGGTCGAGGTCCTACAAGCGCCGCCCCTCAAGGGTTCGGTCCCTGCCATGATGAGGACGCCCCTGATGTAGCCGTTCCATGTCCGGTGCAGGTCTCTTCATCGGCTGCTGCGCCACACGTATACCCAAATTGGGTTCTGGCCGATCTTGAGGTCGTGGTTGGTTCTGCCACTGTCGCCCCATTTCCACCAGCTCCGCGTGTCGTCGAACCCTGTCCTCCTCTTGCTGGCGTTCTCTGAGGCTCGCCGCATCCTCCTGTTCATGCACCACATCCATAGCCTGCTGTGCAAGACGAAACATGTTGGTCTCAAACGTCCTTGCCCATTCCAGGTACATCTCTTGCTCAGCCGCCGACCGTGGCGGTGCCGTTCAAGGTTCATTCTCTGGCGGGTATATACTCATCAGTAGCACATCCCTGTACCTCTGTACCGCCTGTGCCACTGCCACCGCCACCATGGCATGTTTGTGAACTGCCCATCTGCTGATTGGACCAAGACCCATAGCCTCTTTCCCTTGTAACTCTCGAAGCATCTCCGCCGCCATATGGTGTACCAAGGGTTTGAGTGGGTCCTGACGTGGAGGCAAATATGCAGGGTCATAGTACTCCTCCTCCACCAGCGGCCGCAATTCCATCGTGTCAGGTTCTACAGACGTCCCATGATCCAGCTGTAACAGGTATGAAGCATTCTCCACTGGATCCACCACAGTCTCGCACAATGGTCCGCTGTGCGCCAGGCGGGTCTCCCCATCCGGCCTCGTCCCATTGATCGTTGACGTCGTGGTGGTAGAAGAACTTGTCACCCTCCATGACTCTGTTTGTACCAGGCACGACCACTCCACAAGCTCCGACATGTCTCCTGAGGAGGCTCGAACACTTTGTTCATCTGTCTCCCCATGCCAACCAACTTCCTCCCTCACTGTATCCCTCCTGGGTTCAGGGTTTAGGGTTTAGGCTTTAGGGATTAGGGTTTAAAGATTAGGGATTAGGGTTTTCGGGTTTAGGGTTTACGGTTTCCTTTAAGGGTTTGGGCCTTCCGGGCTTCGCGGCTTATAGCGATCACGGCTTCGGGCTCTAAGTCTTCGCGGGGGTAAGGTTCAGGTTTTAGGGTTATAGGGTTGTTATAGGGTTATGATAGGGCGCCCATAGGGTTACAGGGTTATTATAGGGATATAGGGTTATTATAGGGCCTATAGGGTCTTTATAGGGGTGATAGGGTTTGGTTGGTTTAGCTCCGCCCTGGGCGGATTATTTGGCAAAAACCCTACACTTCCTAATCACCACCCGACAAGCCCCAAAAATCCCGAAACCCCCAAACCCAAACCCTAAACCGCAAGCGACACTTGCCTTGCCTTCTTCAGCACGGGCAAAGCTGCGGGGGGACCTGCTGAAGGCAGGCTTGATAGGGTTTAGGGTTTAAGGTTTTCTATTTCCCCTAAGGTTCCAAAGGCTCCAAGAATTAGGTACTCGGCTTTAGGAATAGTAGCTATGTAGGCTGGGATTTGGGAGAGAATAACATTTACTGGGTATGTGACCCAGGATCGCTATAGTCATATAACACATTCATTACAAGGTGAAGCTATTTGCAGTGCAACTCCGAAGCCTACACCCTAGACCTCAAAGTTCCAACCCTCAGGGGGTTGGAACTTTGAGATCTACGGCGCGGCTTTCTGCTCTGGAAAATGAGTTTTTGAAGGATCATGTGGCGATATGAGCAAAAGGTTCATCTAGGGTTTAGGCACGCCACTTCCTGGATTCCTATAACGAATCCTTGCCTTTCAGGCATGGGTTCCGATTTTGCTCGTCCCAGCTGACTTTGCCCCGAATGTTTGGGTCCCAGGCTTAAACCTCTCGGCTCTAGAATTCAGCACTCGTACACACTCAGTGCAATGTCCCCCCTGTTTCACAGGAGGGCCCTGCTTCCTAGTATTGAAAATGCAAAAGGCTCCTACACCGGCGGACCTCGCACCGTAAAACCTTTGACCATAAACACTCACATCGAACCCTGAATATGCAGGGCCTACGGTGAACCCCTTGAAGACACCACGAACACAGAACGGTTGCGGTCATCCAAGGCCTTGTTCGAGATCTCTTGCAATGCAATGCCAGAAACCCCCAATCCCAAAGTTTAAACCGAATCTCAGAAAATTTGAAACTTTAGTTTTGACCCGTAAGATCCTCAAGCCCCTAAAGCCTAAATGCCTCCTAGAGCCCTTGTAGAACCCTAATTAAAGCCCCAGACAGTCCCCGAAACCAAAAGAACAACCCTACACCCTGAACATCTACCTGAAACTCTGGAGCCTGAAAACGAAGCCCCCCACAAAACCCTTAACCTCTACCCCAAACCCTAAACCCTGAACCCTAGAACCCAAAACCACTCGAAATCCCCAAACCCTACTTAAAGGATCATGGGATTTAGTAAGAGGGGTTATAAATAAGGTAACTATACTTATAAGTACTTATAAACCCAATTAAGGCACTTATAACCCTACTTACTAAGTCCCATGATCCTCCAAGTAGACCTTAAACCCTAAACCCTATAGTCCCTATAGATCCCTATAAGGAACCCCATAGATCCCTTTAAGGAGCCCTTTAAGGAACCCCTAATTACTTAGTAAGTCCCATGATCCTCCAAGTACAAGGCCTGAGCGCGCGGGGGAGCTCGGGCTCCACTGCGGCTCTGCATTCAGCTGCTGGCTATGGCGGATCACTGCCTTCACCACATACCTGAGATCTGCTAGGGTTTAGGGCTTAGGGTTTAGGGTTCAAAGCTTAAAGTTTAGGGTTCAGGGTTTAGGGCCTAGGGTTTCGGGTTCAGGGTTTAGGGCTTAACGCCGGATACCTTCCAGCCTAAACCCCGAAGCCCTCCGCCTAAACCCCACCAGAACCCTGTAAAACCATATAAATCCCTATACCCCGACAGACCCTATCGCAGCCTGAAGAGATCCTCCGAATCTTGTAAACCCTCGATCAGCTGAAACCCTTAAACCCCAAAGCTAGTCAACCAAAGCCCCTTTAAACCCTGGAAGAAGTCTTACTAAAAACCGTAACCAAAAACCCTAAAACCCCAAAACCCAAAAATCACAAATCCTAAAACCCCTTAAACCCCAAAGCTAGTTAATCAAAGTATCTCTAAACCCTGGAAACCCAAAAATCCCCAAAAATCCCAAATCCTAAAACCCCTTAGACTCCTAGATCCGATTTATTAAAAGCTGTACCCAAAAACCCTAAAACCCCAAAAAACCCAAAAATCCCAAATCCTAAAACCCCCTTAAACCCCAAAGCTAGTTAATCAAAGTATCTCTAAACCCTGGAAACCCCAAAAATCCCAAAAATCCTAAAACCCCTTAGACTCCTAAATCCGATTTACTATTAAAAGCTGTACCCAAAAACCCTAAAACCCCAAAAATCCCCAAAAATCCCAAATCCTAAAACCCCCTTAGGACTCCTAGATCCGATTTACTAAAAGCTGTACCCAAAAACCCTAAAACCCCAAAAATCCCAAGAATCCCAAAAATCCTAAAACCCCTTGGACTCCCAGATCCGAAACCCCTCGATGCCCCCCCCCCCCCCCCCCCAAAAAACCCTGCTATACTTAAAGTGCTCCTTAAAGGGATCTGTAGGGTTCCTTAAAAGGGATCTATAGGGTTTAGGTTTAGAGTCTACTTCAAGGATCATGGGACTTAGTAACTGGGGGTTATATGTAAGGAAACTATACTTAGAACTACTTGTAACCTCAGTTAATGTACTTATAACCTTACTTGCTAAGTCCCATGATCCTCCAAGTACATCCTCAACCCTGAAAACCCCGAAATAATACATCCTAAAACCCCTAAAACCCTTAAATCCTAAACCCCTAATCCCCTAAAAAATCACACCCCGAAATACGGTTGATAATATAAATCTTGCATTACCTTAAGGACCCTAAACTATGAGAATTATGGTATATTCCTCATTATGGCTTATGCAGGATTTATATCATCAAACCGCAATTTTCCGGGGCTACTATGAGGGATCTATAAGGGCACCCTAATTTAGGGAATAAGGCTCCTTTAAAGGATGCCTTCTGATGATCAACCGTACTAAACACGCGCCAGGGGACGAGTTCGGATTCCAAATCTCCCCATATTCGGCCTTTTCCTCGAGGTTCTCGAGGACCGACTTGGCTTCAGGGAGAGGCTTGAGGTTTGGGGTTCCTTTAAGGGATCCTTTAAGGGTTCCTTTAAGGGTTCCTTTAAGGGATCCTTTAAGGGTTCCTTTAAGGGTTACTATTAGGTTACTATAAGGGTTACTATTAGGTTACTATAAGGGTTACTATAAGGGTTCTATGATGGCTCTACAAGGGGTACTATAAGGGTTACTATAAGGGTTCCTTTAAGGGTTTTAGGGCTTTGGGTTCAGTGTCTAGAAATGTTTAGGGTTTAGGGTTGTTCCTTTAAGGGTCCCTTGAAAGGGTTTAGGGTCTAGGGTACCATACGTTTGATGATATAAATCCTGCATTACCTTAAGGACCCTAAACTATGGGAATTGTAGTATATTCCTTATTATAGGTAATGCAGGATTTCTATCATCAACCGTAATATAGGGCCTTAGGCTCCTTTCAACGATGCCTTCTGATCACCGTGCCAGATATCGGCTCGCCTGTCACGACAAACGTCAAGGAGCAGATGGGAGTTTCCGAAGATTAGGGGTACCTTATTTGGGGTCCTTATAATAAGGATCCTACTAATTCGGGTGCTGTACTAGGGTCGCTATTTTCGGAAACTCCCAGATGGTGCAATTCCACCAACAACTACGCACCAGGGGTCACGTCTATCGCGGCCAGGGATTCTCCATTGAGCTTCCAGATGACGCTGGGTACGGGAACTCGCGATCTGGATAGGACTGCATGTAGCTGATGTCTCTGGGGTTCCTTAAAGGGATCTATAGGGCTCCTTAAAGGGATCTATAGGGGTTCCTTATAACTGGATCTATAGGGGTACTCTTACCTTTGGTTAGAACGGTAGTAACAGTAGTTATAGTTGTACCTCATTCCTCCATTCCCTACTAAACAAAGGTAAGTCTGGTGGTACAGCAGCGTGTCGATGCGGGTGTCGTGAGTGGTCCTCCCCGTGATGCTGTACTTCAGCCCCCATAACGGTCCCAGCTCGCTCGCGGAGAATGTGGTCAAGTACTCGTTTCGCAATATGTGGCTATAATCCTTAGACCAGGGCTCCTTCGCAGGGTTCCTTTTTAAAGGGGTCTGTAAGGGTTAGTATAAGGGCTACTATGAGGCTTTAGTATAGGGGCCTTAATGATTAGAACAGGGTTTTGGGGCCCCTTATGCTATAAATACCCCCCCCCCCCAGAACAGTATAGGTAATTATTAACGCCCCTTTTTTAGGGTTCCGGTTTTAGTGTTTGGGGTTTAGGGTTTGGAGTCTAGGGTCCAGGGTTGAGGGTTGAGGGCTCGGGATTTAAGATCTGGGTGTCGCGTTTAGGGCTTGAGGAATGGAGGCCGAAAACTCGAAAACCCTAAAGCCTTGAACCATGGCTTTGGCGTCTAGGGGTTCATGAGAAGCTAAGCCCACGGAAGCTTCACGCCCACAAGGTGGGCGCAGGGTTTAGTGTCTGAAAACCTCGTTGCAGCATCCTCGTACCCCCTGTAGCCTGTAAAGCCCCAAAACTTCGTACACCTCGAACCCTAAGTTGTTGAAACCCTAGACGCTCAACCATAAACCCATAAACACATCCTAAACCCTAACCCTGAACCCGTAAAAAACCTAAACCTTACACCCGAAGCCTTAAACAGAAAGTTGGAACATCATTATTGATCATGTGCCTCGGGTGAACCGGATGAACCATACGGGAATCCCAGCACTTGTAGAAGCTGTAACACGTACTTTAATCGGTGTTCTAAGTACTTAGAAGTATAATGAAGTATAGTTACCTTATTTGTAACCCTACTTACTAAGTGCCATGACCCTCAATGTAAACCCTAAACCCTAACTCCTAATCCCCTAAACCCCTAAACCTTTTAAGGCACTACCCTATGGGACTTAGTAAGTGGGGTTATAAACAAGGTAGCTACATTTATAACTACAAATAACCCCAATTAAGGCACTTATCACCCTACTTACTAAGCCCCATGATCCTCCAAGTAGACCTTAAACCCTAAACCCTATAGTCCCTATAGATCCCTATAAGGAACCCCATAGATCCCTTTAAGGAGCCCTTTAAGGAACCCCTAATTACTTAGTAAGTCCCATGATCCTCCAAGTATAGAACCCCTAAGGATCCCATGTAGGCTTAAGGACCCCTTTAAAAAAAGGGGTGCTACTTAGGAACCTAGACTGGGTCTCCCCACCATCGCCCGGTCCTCTGGCAGTGTGCCCAACATCTCGAGAGCGTCCTTCGATGAGAGAGGCATTGGGGATTAGGGTTTGAAAATTTTGGGTTTAAGGGGTGAGGTTTGAGGCTTGTTTTGCTTTAGGATTTGGGGTTTAAGAGTTTAGGGGGTTTAGGCTTTAGGCTTTGGGGTTTGAGGTTTGAGAGTTCAAAGCCTTTGGGGTTCGGGGTTTGAGGCTTTAGTTAGGGGGTTCGGGGTTTTGGGTTTGAGAGTTCAGAGGGTTTAGAGGGTTTGAGAGTTTAGGGTTGGGGGTTTGAGAGTTTGGAGTTTAGGCTTTAATGTTTCAGAGTTTAGGGTGTTGTGTTGTGGTTTTGAGGGTTTAGACGGTTTAGGGTTTATGTAGGGGTTTAAAGGGTTTAGTGGTTCAGAGTTTGAGGGTTTAGGGTTTAGAGATATAGGGGTCTGGGGTCTATACCGATACCCCAAACGGTAGGATTCATATCCGAATTATCGATTATCGTCGCCTCTACCTTAAACCCAAAACTTGAAACCGCCCAACGTTCGGAATTCAATAATTCCGATTAAGAATTACACTGGAGAATAGAAACCTTAAGCGTGCAGAATGACCCTGACTACTTGGAGGATCATGGGACTTGCTAAGTAAGGTCATAAGTACCTTAATTGGGGCTTTATAAGTAATAAGTACAGTGACCTTATTTATAACCTTACTTACTAAGTCCCATGTTCCTCCAAGGATGGTTTAAACACGATCTTTCATGAATCACAGGCTTTCGGGTTTTCCGGGTTGACGGCGCCGAGGGTTCAGGATTTCCAAGCTTATGGTTTCGGGCCTTAGGGCGCAATCATAGACTCTAAGATCTAGACCCTAAACCCTAGAAACCCAAAGCCCTGAAGAACCCAATACAGGGGCCTTGAAATGCAGTGATAAGGCTGTCAGGGTCCATTCTAGCATATTTATGTAGGCACTAGTACAGGTATACGCTTTGCTAACTATTCCAACCCCATTTTACCTATACCCCCCTTAGAATCATAACAAGAAGAATATGTTTAATATTTTCTTGGTTTCTATATGTACAAAAATCAAAAAGTAATTCCTAAGGAGACTATAGTTACATCCTGAACCGTCTGCACAACCCTGAGACCTCGAGATCAAACCGGGCGTCCTCATCCACGAACTGCTTACCAAAGTAACCTGCAAAGTGCTTCCCCTTTCGGGGTTTAAGGCGTTTAAGGTTCCCGTTGTCGGGTTTAAGGCGTTTCAGGGTCCCTTTTTGCTTTTGGGGGGCTTAGGGTTTAAGGGATTGCCGAATAGAAACTTGCTTTCTGGCTGCCTTTTCCCTGCTATTCAGACTGCATAAGGCGATCTCAAGATCGCGAAACAAGGTGTGCCGGTATTGGAACCCAAGCAGCGGGTTAGTTGTAGGCTGGTTCTTTCACTGGCACAAGCTACAAGATCACGCTGTGGCTCCCAGAGAGCCCAATACCCCTTAATCAAGGAATATAGCTTAAACCATAATATCAAGCCCCTCATAATTAAGCCATATTCCTTAATTAAGGGGTTTTGGGCTCTCCGGGCTGGAGCAATGGGCCGCAGGCTTACGGTAGTTTGGCCGCTGAGCCCCAAAACCTCCGCCTAACAACCCTGACTCTCCCAGAGAGCCCAATACCCCTAAACTAAGGAATATGGCTTAAATTATATAGGGCTTCATGTTACGGTTTAAGCTATATTGCTGAATTAAGGGGTATTGGGCTCTCTGGGCTACCAGAGAGCTACACCCCACACTCCTGAACTTTGAACCTCAAGTCATAGTCCTAAATCCCGAACCTCAAAGCCCTGAGCTGAACGCGAAGAGTCCTATCACAAGCATACTTGGAGGATCATGGGACTTAGTAAGTAATTAGGGGTTCCTTAAAGGGCTCCTTAAAAGGATCTATGGGGTTCCTTATAGGGATCTATAGGAACTATAGGGTTTAGGGTTTAGGGGTTACTTGGAGGATCATGGGACTTAGTAAGTAAGGTTATCAGTACCTTAACTGGGGTTATAAGTAGTTATACGTATAGTTGCCTTATTTATAACCCACTTACTAAGTCCCATGATCCTTCAAGTACTCAGCGTGACGCCGCGACTAAGCCTGGAAGCCTTGTACCCCTGAAGAAAATCCTAAAAGTCTAAACACAACGTAAGACCAACAAGCCCTACAAGTACACATTCCGAGCTGACCGAAATACCTGTCCCGAGATAGCCATGCTATTGCAAGGCTTTTGTTTGGGCTGCCCCCATGAAAAACCGAAACCGGGCCTTCGCGATTTAGCCAATTCACCTGCGCTGGCTGCAGGATCGTTCGAGCCCTGTGTTTACGGTTTACGTGTGAGCCGTAAATCCAAGAATTCTAGAACCTAAACCCAAGGCCATACACTTTAGATCGTGTTCAGCAGTCTCTCCGCAAGCTGCTAAGCCCCTACATTGCACCCTTAAAGGTACCCCTTGTAGAACAACCTTTAAAGGAACCCTTACAGGAAAACTTAAAGGGGACCCTACTATAGAACTTTCTAGTACCCTTAAACGGGACCCTATCGTAGAAATTGTAAGGGTACCCTTAAAGGACCCGTGTGGAGGCCCTTTTGACTTAGTAAGTAGGGTTAGTAAGGTGGGTTATGGGGATTATAGTAGGGTTTCTGGTGGATACTAAGTAGACATACTAAGTCAAAAGGGCCTCCAAGTGCTCTCACAGAGCCCAATGCCCCAACGAAACAGGAGTACACCGTAGTAGAACCCCTAAGGGTACCCTTAAGGGACCCTTAAAGGAACCGCCTCTTTTTGGTTTGGCTGCCGCCACTTTGGGAGCTTGGGGTTCAGGGCTGGGGACTACTTGGAGGCCCTGTTGACTTAGTAGGTCTACTTAGTATCCCCTAGAAACCCTATTACAATCCCCATAACCCACCTTACTAACCCTACTTACTAAGTCAAAAGGGCCTCCAAGTATGGTTCTCTGTCTTTCGGGCCGATTCCCAGCTGCTCGCACACATTTTCGGTTTAGGGTTTAGGATTTATTGAGGGTTTAGGGTTTAGGGTTTTAGGTTTAGGATTTAGGGTTCAGGGTGCTGTCTGGCAGTGTGAGGATGGCTTCCTCAGTCCTCACCTTGAGGACTCTTCCAACTCTCCCACCGTACTTGGAGGATCATGGGACTTAGTAAGTAATTAGGGGTTCCTTAAAGGGCTCCTTAAAGGGATCTATGAGGTTCCTTATAGGAACCTATAGGGACTATAGGGTTTTGGCTTTAGGGGTTACTTGGAGGATCATGGGACTTAGTAAGTAGGGTTACAAGTACCTGAATTAGGGTTATAAGTAGTTATACGTATAGTTGCCTTGTTTATGATCCTTCAAGTAGTCTCACAGTGCTGTGGCAGGTCCACCTCAGTGAACTTAAGCACTGCGGGCTTTGGGCCTGCGACACGTGTGTCGTCGATGTGGCGGAGGAGTATGGGTCCGGACCGGCGGTCTAAGAAAGCACTGCCAGTGAGCACTTCCCAGACTTTCCAAAATCCCTTAATTAAGGAATATACCTTAATTCATATTAGGGATCCTATTATAATTTAAGGTATATTCCTTAATCAAGAGATATTGGAGTCTCTGGGTTCCTCCAGCTCGGCCCGGTAGACAGAGCCGGCCGTCCTTCGGCCGTACAGGTTCCCGTCGACTCGGAACACAAAGTCCCGGAAATGGTCGCGCCAGAAAGTTGGAATATGGCTATCCCAAGCCCTTTATGGTAAATTGTAAGGTATCCTACCCTGAAACCATATTCCAACTTTCTGGAGTTCCCTACATGGCCCTGAATAGTGGGTACGAGTATTTGGGGGATATTGGAGGGTTTTCTAGGCCTAAGGATCCTTTTAGGGTTCCTGTAAGGGTTACAATACAGTAGAAGCCAGAAAGTTGGAACATCAGTAGCCTCATGCCCTTAAAGCAAAGTATAGGGAATCGCACCTTGAATCATCCTAAATCCATGTTCCAACTTTCTGGGGTTCGCTATATGGGTTCTACAGGGGTGTAGGGTATAAGGATCCATGTACCATGTACCGTTTTAGGGTTTAGGGTTTAGGGTTTAGGGTTACCCAAATAGCCCGATGGTATATGCTTTGGCGTTAAAAGCAACGGCTACTTGGGTACATTGGGGCCTCAGTATACATACTATTTGGGTACAGGGATTTTGGAGGTTTAGGATTTAAGGTTTAAGGCTTGAGGTTTAAGGTCTGAGGTTCAGGGTTAGGGATTATAGGGCTTAAGATTGACGGCTTTTTTTCAGGTAGGATGACGGCCTTCTAGGTTCGAGGGTTAGGGTTTAGGGTTTTTATGGTTAGGGAAGCATAGATCCCTTTAGAGGAACCCTTTAAGGATCCCTTTAAAGGAACCCCTATTCCTATATTAGGGGTTTATGGTTAGCTTCAGGTTCACGGCTCCGGAGGATGCAACGCCCTGGCGCGCAAAAAAGCCGAAGGCCATGGAGAGCGCTTTGGTGGTTTAGGGTTTAGCGTTACCAGGCTTAGGGTTCAGGGCTTAAGGTTTAGGGTTTCCAGGTTTAGGGTTTAGGGTTTCGGGGTTTAAGGTTTAGGGCTTAGGGGTTTCGGGGTTTAGGGTATAGGGGTTTCGGGGCTTAGGGGTTTCGGGGTTTAGGGTTTAGGGTTTCTTGGACTCCTTCCTTGAAAAGGTCAATTTTCGGTCGGATTTTCAGGTATACACAGCCCATATTAGGCCTTATAATCAAAACCTGCTTTTGTGGTAGGGCCCCCGTAAAACCCGTACTAGCCTTTATCATAAGAACCGACCCAGAGAGCCCAATACGCCTTAATCAAGGAATATAGCTTAAACCATAATATGAAGCCCCTTATAACTTAAGCCATATAGCTCAATTAAGGGGTATTGGGCTCTCTGGGTACCAGAACGTATAGGGTATGGTAGGCTAAGGTAAGACTTAAGGTGACTCTGGAAGCCGAAAGCCAGGAACAACTTTACGTTGTCGGGTTTAGGGTTTAGGGGTTTAGGGGTTTAGGGTTTGGGGTTTAGGGGTTTAGGGGTTTAGGGGTTCAGGGGATAGGTTTAAACACCCAACCCACTCACAACTCCCAACCAGCACACATGCATGGACAAAGCAAGAGAACAGCAACCGCAACGACACTTACCACGAAAGCGATGGTGAGCTCTAAAGGAATATCCCGTAATACTAAGCCGCTAGACCAAAATATCAGTCGACATCATGACTAGAGCGGGCCTTCTTCCGAATCTTCACAGTGGCCGGTGGTACGCGGCTAGGCGCCGACTGCTTCACCGCCGTCTTCCGGACCTGTTGTCCTGGCGATGAAGTTGGTAATGATGACACTGACGGTGATACTGCATACTGCCACTAATCATGTCGACGATCATAGTGGCCTTGACTTGATGGTGATGATGCTGACGATGATGCTGATGATGATGAGGAGGAGGATGAGGATAAGGATGAGGATGGGCAGCAGTATAAAATAAGTTTCAAGGGTTAGGGTCAGGTTTGTGGCCTGCGGGCTCGTGAAAATCACCATCACAGCCGCCAGCTCCATCGCCAGTCGTCGCATTGTGATCATCGTCTAACGCGGCCCCAACATTCCGAAACCCTTACTCATGGAAGATTCCTTTAATCATATTGAGAACCCCTCTTCAGGGAGTATAGTCCCTGAAAGTGCAAGCTCGAAAGCCTAAATGCGAACCTGAACCGCCACAACCTTAAGCTCGAGACAACAACCCCGTGCACTAAACTCAGTGAAACCCATACCCTAAAAACTTGTTTGAACCCGAACCCTAGAGCCCTCTTAAACCCTACACCTTAATCCCTAAACCCTAAACCCCTAAACCCCCAAAACCCTAAACCCCTAAAACCCCCTAAACCCTAACATAAACCCTAATCCCCAAGCCTTTAAGAAGGGCTCAATATTTAGGGCTCAGGGATAGAGGGCCTACTTACTAGAATAGGGTTTCCATCGGGGCACTTAGCTTCAATAGTTATGGTGTAGGTTTTTCTATAAGGGTTCCTTATGAAGGGCCCATAAGAGTTCTATGGTGGGGGGGTTCTTGGGTTTTGCAAAGGGGCCTTCATCGCTAGAATACGTTAAAGGTCCACATTGTTGTCAACTATATAGACTATATAAGGACTATAAGGGGGTACTATCACCACCTGTTCAATTCTCTACAGCAAGGAATATGGGTGATTGTCAAAATTAAGGTCCCTGTTTGGGTACTCTAAGTAATAGGTGCCGTATTATAGCAGGGACCCAAAAAGGGACCCTGATTTTGACAACCACGCATATGTAGAAACAGTCTTGGGTTCAGGGTCCCGAAACCCTCAACCCTAAACCCTAAACCCTAAACCCCAAAACCCTAAACCCTAAACCCTAAACCCTAAACCCTCTTCAGGGTCTCGGGCATCGGGGCTTGCGGGTGGAGGGTTCACGGCTTCAGGGTTTTTGGTGCCAAGACCGGAGCATGCTTCCCCTCAACCTCAACAACTACAACAGCTCCCATGCAGCCCTAAGCCTTATACTATACCCCCGTTAAAACCATAATAAACATATTATTCAAATTGGGCTTTATATGAACAGAAATAAAAAACAACAACAATTCCAAAGAAAACTATAGTATAGTCCCCGTCCCCAGCAGCAGCTCTGAACCCCCTAACCCCCCTCACCCCTAAACCCACCCCTAACATCCCTCACCCCCTAAACCCTAAACCCTAAACCCCCAAAGCCCTAAAACCCCCTAAACCCATGTAGCCTGCATATCCGCCCTTGCCCTTGCCGCCCTTGCCCTTGCCGACCGCCATGGAATTGGCCGAGCCGGCTCTTATGGAAACTTCTACTAGGATGCCCAGTAACCTAGGAATAAAAAGGGCTCCCTTTTTCGGTGTTTGGTAACTTTATAGGGAACCTAGGACTACAGAAAGGGAATCAGGGTACTACTGGGCATCCTAGTCTATGCTGCGGAGTGTAAAGGCATTCTATATAGATTCCTGCTCGCGGCTTTTATTGTGCGCTGTCTCTATGAACCCCTGGTATGAGTCCTTGCTTTGAAACCGGATGGTTCAGGCATTTGCGCCGGTATGGAAGTAATACCCGTTCCCCATGCCAGTCCCTGTAATCACATTTTTGCTATACCTCAGAATACTTCCCTGAGCTCTTTTCAACGAATTCAGATCATCCTAAACCCTAAACCCTGCAAGGACCCGATGGCCACTAGCACAAATACGGCTGACAAGCATCGTCGTAGCGGGATAACTGCGGAAGCAAAAGAGCGTTGGCAGAAGGGAACCCTAAACCCTAAACCCTAAACCCTAAACCCTTAAACCCTAAACCCTAAACCCTAAACCGAGTTTTCAGGGAGTTTGATGGGCTTCGTCCTGGGCCTGTTTCCTTCCTTACACTAAGGCTCAAAATAACCAAAAGCCTTATACAGCTTTGTCTTTGGGACCAGAAGCCTTAAAATAGAAGGCATTAGTTATTAGATCCCGTATCGAGTTAAAGGAAGCCTACAGCCCTAAACCCCTTAGGTTTCCAGGTGTTGTTTGGGGCTGTGGGCTTGCTTGCAGGCCCTTCTGTGCTTGGTAAATCGACTTGGTTTCCCCTATCAGGGTTCAGAGGGGTTAGGAGTTGGGGTGTAATTAGGGGTGAGGGCTTAGGGCTGTAGGGTTGCAACTGCAACAAAAATTAAGAATTTAGCCCCAATGCCCATCCCCCTAAACCATAAACCCCTAAACCCCTAAACCCCTAATTAAACCCTAAAGACTAACCCTGCATACTACATTCAATCAGCCTCCAAGTTGTGACAGGGCTCCAAAACCCCATTTCGCTTGAACGTTCAAGGCTTAGGGTAGGGTTCAGGGTTCAGGGTTGAGGGTAGGGTATAGGGTTTAGGGCAGGGTTTAGGGTAGGGTTTAGGGTTTTGGATTTGAAGCGTACTGTTATTCAAAACAATGAATATGGAAGTATGACTTGGATACCCAGTAACCTAAGAATAAAAAGGCCTCTCTTTTTGGTATTGGGTAACTTTATAAGGAACCTAGGACTACAAAAAGGGAATAAGGGTACTACTGGGCATCCTAGATATGGAAGTAGGACGCTTTCCCTCTACAGGGGAGTATGGTTTCAGGGTTGGGTTTTTGGGGTTCTTAGGGGGTCCTTAAAGGGTACTATAAGGGTTCTTTTAAGGGATCTTTGGGGGTCAAGGTTTTAGGGTTTCGGCATTAGGAACCCCACCCTAACTCGAACTCGAACTGGAACTGTTCCAGTTCCAGTTCGAGTTCGAGTTCGACTCACTCCACCCGCACGACCCATTCCCCTGGGCCTTGGACCCCTTGCTAACCCTGAACTCGAACTCGAACTGGAACAGTTCCACTTCCACTTCGAGTTCGAGTTCCACACACCCCACCCACCCACCCTCCCATTCCCTTCGACCTTGGGCCCTTCGAACTCGAACTCCTCGCCCCCCCCCCGGCTGCGCTCGCCCGGTCGGTGGTCGAACTCGAACTCGAACTGGAACTCGAACTCCCCCCCCCCCCCCCCCCGAATTTTGGCTGCTGCTATTCTTTGGAACTCGAACTGGTAAGCTACGAACCACCCCCCCCCCCGTGCTGCGCTCAAGCCCGGTCGGTGGTCGAACTCGAACTCGACCTCCCCCCCCCCGCCCGGCCGAAATGTTGCTGCTGCTACTCCTCGAACTCGTACTCAAACTCGAACTCGACCCCCGGACTCGGACTGGAACTCGAACTGGAACTCGACCCCCCCCCCCGGGCTGGCTCTTGCCCGTCGTGGTCGAAACTCTAAGCTCCTAACTGGACTCGAACTCCCGCCCCCCCCCCCCCCCCCCCCCCCCCCCCCGCCGAAATTTTGCTGCTGCTATTCTTTGGAACTCGAACTCGAACTACTGGAACTCGCCCCCCCCCCGGGCTGCGCTGTCGGTGGTCGAACTCGAACTCGAACTGGAACTCGAACTCCCCCCCCCCTCCGCCGAAATTTTGCTGCTGCTACTCATTGAAACTCAACCTCCAATTCGAACTCGAACTGGAACTCGACACCCCCCCCGGGCTGCGCTCGGTGGGTGAACTCGAACTCGAACTGGAACTCGAACCCGCCCCCCCCCCCCCCCCCCCCCCCGAAATTTTGCGGCTGCTATTGTTTGGAACTCGAACTCGAACTCGAACTGGAACTCGACCCCCCCCCGGGCTGCGCTCGCCCGGTCGGTGGTCGAACTCGAACTCGAACTGGAACTCGAACTCCCCCCCCCCCCCCTCGCCCCCCCCCCCCCCGCCGAAATTTTGCTGCTGCTATTCTTTGGAACTCGAACTCGAACTCGAACTTCCCCCCCCCGGAAATTTTGCGGCTCTGCTACGACTCGCACTTGAACTCGAACTCCAACAACCCCCCCTCCCTGGGGTGCGCTCGCCCGGTTGGGGGTCGAACTGGAACTCGAACTGGAACTCGAACTCGAACTCGACCGCCCCCTCCGCCGAAAATACCACGTCGAACTCAAACTGAGAACTCGAACTCGCTGGGGCCTGCTGCTACGACTGCAACTAGTAGTACCAGTCCTACTACTGTTACTACTACTACTACTACTACTACTACTACTACTACTACTACTACTACTACTACTACTACTACTACTACTACCTACTACTACTGTACTACTACTACTACTGTACTACTACTACTACTACTACTACTACTACTACTACTACTACTACTACTACTACTACTACTACTACTACTACTACTACTCTGCTACTACTACTACTACTACTACTACTACTACTACTACTACTACTACTATACTACTACTACTACTACTACGATACTGCTACTGCTACTGCTGCTACTGCTACTGCTACTGTCTGCTACAACTACTATACTACTACTACTAACGTCGAACTCGAACTCGAACTCGAATCGCCCCCCCCCCCCCTCCTCCACGGCTGCGCTCGCCCGGCCGGTGGTCGAACTCGAAGTCGAACTGGAACTCGATCTCCCCCCCCCCCCCCCCGCCGAAATTTTGCTGCTGCTACTACTTCGAGCTCGAACTCGAACTCGAAATGGAACTCGACCCCCCCCCCCCGGGCTGCTACTACCTCTTCGAACTCAAACGCGAACTCGAACTGGAACTCGAACTCGAACTGGAACACTTCCCCCTCCCCTGGGGTACGCTCTGGGTTTCGGGGTTTCGGGTTTTAGGTTTTAGGGTTTAGGGCTTTAGGGTTTTAGTGGTTTCACGGTGCGGGCCTTCAGGGGGTCGGGCTTGATAACAATATTGTAAATTCGTATCTGTATATAAACCCTGGCCCCAAACCAAAACCCCTAAACCCTAAACCCTAACCCATGGCTTTAGGGTGGTTGGGTTCCCTGCTGCACCTGGTTTGGGCGACCTCGGTCGCAAACTTGGTGCGAGTCTGCTCAAGCTCCTGCAGTTTAAACGGTTTAGGGCTCAGGGTCAGGGGTTTCAGGTTTAGAGTTAACGCCCCTAAAATGCTCAAGCCTAAAAAGGCAGGGCTTTATCCGACTTCCGCTGGATGTTAGAAAACTGTTGTTCTGATGGCTCAGCGATTTGGAGACTGATTCAGGAATTTCGGGTTGGGGCTGGGCGGCTGAGTTCACCGGAACAGAAGCAGCCCTTAGCCCCAAACCTTCAACGATGCATCAAACGGTGTGAGGCTGCCTACTCGGATCACAGGAAGGCCATAGCGTGTTCCTTGGCTCTCGAAACTACCTCTGCAGGAACCTGTTCAAGGCCAATCTATGTACCCTGCAGGCACATGGAGCCAGAGAGCTCAATACCCCTTAATTAAGGAATATAGCTTAAATCATAATACGAAGCCCCTTACAATTTAAGCCATATTCCTGAATAAAAGGATATCGGAAACCCTAATCCCTTATAGATCCCTTTTACTAGACCCAATTGTAACCTAGGAACAAAAAGGGTGCCCTTTTTGGTTTAAAGGGGCTTATAAGGGAACCTGAACCCTAAAAAAAGGGAATAAGGGCCTACTCTAGGTCCTAGTGGGAGTTTAGGGTTTAGGGTTTCCAGGATTATAGATCCCTTTTAGACCCCTTTTAAAGGAACCCTAGGTATATTCCTTATAGATCCCTTTTAGACCCCTCTTAAAGGAACCCTAGGTATATTCCTTATAGATCCCTTTTAGACCCCTCTTAAAGGAACCCTAGGTATATTCCTTATAGATCCCTTTTAGACCCCTCTTAAAGGAACCCTAGGTATATTCCTTATAGATCCCTTTTAGACCCCTTTTAAAGGAACCCTAGGTATATTCCTTATAGATCCCTTTTAGACCCCTTTTAAAGGAACCCTAGGTATATTCCTTATAGATCCCTTTTAGACCCCTTTTAAAGGAACCCTAGGTATATTCCTTATAGATCCCTTTTAGACCCCTTTTAAAGGAACCCTAGGTATATTCCTTATAGATCCCTTTTAGACCCCTTTTAAAGGAACCCTAGGTATATTCCTTATAGATCCCTTTTAGACCCCTCTTAAAGGAACCCAAGGTATATTCCTTATAGATCCCTTTTAGACCCCTCTTAAAGGAACCCTAGGTATATTCCTTATAGATCCCTTTTAGACCCCTTTTAAAGGAACCCTAGGTATATTCCTTAATTAAGGGGGTCTTGGGCTCTCTGGGGACCTTCCACTGCAAAGCTTCGGAAGGCTCTAGCTGGCTGTATCGTGAACCACAACCCCCTACAGTAGAAGCCTAGAACGGTTTAGGGTTTAGGGGTTTAGGGTGTAGGGTTTAGGGGTTTAGGGTTTAGGGTTTAGGGGTTAGGGTTTAGGGTTTAGGGGTTTAGGGCTTAGGGTTTAGGGTTTAGGGTTTAGGGCTTAGGGTAAACGTTGGAAACCCAATAGCTTCAATCCTTAAGAGTAATGCATAGGGAATCCCCTCCGGAAGACCAAACCTCCGTTACAGGAGACCCTGAAAGGAGACCCTAAACCCCTAAACGAACCCCTTAAAGGAACCCTAAAGCCTCCCTATAGATCCCTTAAAGGAACCCTAAAGCCTCCCTATAGATCCCTTAAAGGAACCCTAAAGCCTCCCTATAGATCCCTTAAAGGAACCCTAAAGCCTCCCTATAGATCCCTTAAAGGAACCCTAAAGCCTCCCTATAGATCCCTTAAAGGAACCCTAAAGCCTCCCTATAGATCCCTTAAAGGAACCCTAAACCCTAAACCCTATAGATCCCTTAAAGGAACCCTAAAAATCCCCCCAAGGCCCGACCTGCTTGCACTGCGCCAGGTTGGATTTCGCCTCATGGGCCTCGGCTTTCTCCGTCTTTTGAGAGTGTTGGGGCTCCTTTAAAGGGTACTATAAGGGTCCCTTTAAAGGGTACCTTGAAAGGGTTCCTGTAAAGGGTATTTTGAGAGTTTGGGGTTCCTTTAAAAGGTATTAGGGTTTTAGGGTTTGGGGTTTTAAGGCTCAGGGTGTTAGGGTTTGGGGTTTTAGGGTGTGGGGTTTCAGGGGTTGAAGGTTTTAGAGTGTAGGGTTCAGGGTTTTAGGTTTCGCGGGCTGAAGGTTTGGGGGTTGAGGTTTGGGTTGAAAGTTTGCTTTTAAGGTTTAGGGTTTGATGATTAGGGCTGAAGCTCTGGGGCTTAGGGTTTTAGTTTTTAGGGTTTAGGGCTTAAGGTTTAGGGGTTTAGGGTTTAAGGTTTAGGGGTTTAGGGGTTTAGGGTTTAAGGCTTAGGGGTTTAGGGCTTAAGGTTTAGGGGTTTCGGGTTTAAGGCTTTGGGTTTAAGGTTCAGCAGCTCTGGTCGAGCAGTGACTAGTGGAGTTCGCTATTTAGAACATGGAATAGTACCCACCCCCCAAAACATGTAGAAATAAAAACTACCTTCAACTGATCAGCCAACCCATAGATCCCTTTAAAGGAGCCCTTATCTGGGATACCCAATAACCTAAGAATAAAAAGGCCTCTCTTTTTGGTAATGGTTACTTTACAAGGAACCTGGGACTACAAAAGGGAATAAGGGTACTACTGGGCATCCTAGTTATGGTACCCTGGAACCCCAGGCCCTGAACCCTGAGGCGCACCTCTAGACCCTAAACACTTCCGGACAAGCTCTTAATGTAGGAACCTGATTAAGGAACCTTGGGCCTTTATTAGGGCTCCTTGTACGAATCCTGCTATTTTGGGGGGGTTATAGGCCCAGGGTTTCTTAATCAGGTTCCTACAGTATGCTAGTTTAGGGGTTGAAGAGTTAGGGGTCCCTGAACCCCAACTGCCAAGCTTTAAAGCCCCACCTATCCCCCGCCCCTAAATCCTACTGATCACCCGCTACATCTCAATTCGCCACCCGAAACCTTAAACCTTCTAAGTTTTGCTTTTCCAAAGCAGCACAAGGGTTTACAGTTTAGGGTTTAGGATGCAAAATTTCATGAAACCCTATCAATCACTGAACGACAAACATGCAGAACCCCTGGTTCAACCCTTACACAACTTCGTGGAATCCCTAGCAAACACTGGTAAGCCCCTTAGCAGGACCTCCATACATCATGTCCTATATCATTGAAAGACCTTCTCGACAATCGTGATAAGAACCCACAACCTTTGAAACCATTGCAAACTCCCTTGAAAGCCCTTCACATCCCTACACCCTAAACCATTCACAACAACACCAAACCTTCAACCCGAGTCCCTAAACCCTAAGACCCCTAAAACCGTATAGCTGGAGTTAGAGCTAGTTCATGGTTGGGATAGGATTAAAAATTTAAACTGTTATTCCTTATAAAAATGTCAAATGTCACACAACTATGACAAAGAAGACCCCTAAACCAAAACCGTATAGCTGGAGTCAGAGCAGCCTCGTTCTGAAGCTTCCGCATCTCGGACTCCGCGCTCAACACCTGGGAGACGCCGGCGATCAGGGTTTAGGGCTCTGGGTTTAGGACTTAGGGTTTAGGGGTTTAGGGTTTAGGGATTAGGGCTCTGGGTTTATATAGGACTTAGGGGAAAAACCCTAAGACTAAACTTACCCTAAACCCGAAACCCCTAAATCCTAAACCCATTATGTGGTTGCTACACGGTGGCCTTGACGCCCGTCTGGCCTCCTAAGCGCAAAGGATGAACCCCATTGCCGGGAAATCTCTTCCGAGACCCCCGGGAGGATCTAGAAAGTAGATCCCCTAATTTGGGGCCCTATACTACTAAGGGTACTTTATAGGAACCCCCATTAAGGGATCTACTTTTTGGATCCTCCCGGGGGTCTGGGTTGTGGCCTTCTTCGACCTTTGAGCTGCGGCAGCCTGGCCCGCAAGCTTCTGTGCACGTGGCCCTTCAATGAGGAACAGACCTCCTTAGGGTTTAGGGTTTAGGGTTTAGGGTTTAGGGTTTAGGGTTTAGGGTTTAAGCATATCCTCTAACTAGGTGGGGCTTTGAAAGCCTTTTAAAAATAGTAGTAAATAGGATCCTCTTAAGCCCAATAGGGTAAAATATAAAATGTCCCAAAGCCCTACCTAGCTAAGCATAAGCGCCTCTTGGCCTGGGCTCACTATAAGGGAACTCTACACCCCTTAGCCGAGGCTCGCGATAGTGGAGGAGCCACCATGCCTCCTGCGCCAAGCATCCATTGTGGTAGAACTCCAGAGCCTGGCTACAGAGCCGAGGCCCTGCAATTCTCGTGCAGGAGCTTGCAACTCATGGCGTCTTGAGCAAGCAGCTTCCACTGCCGTCCGGAAAGGCGCGTGGGAGATCAGGGTCGCAAGCATAAAACTCCGTCTCTGGCAACAAGGCACTGACCTCCAGAAGACATCGAAAGTGACGAACAACGTGCGACACCGACCTACAGATGTCCTCTTCTCACATGAAGCCTCGATCTCTCACCGAACCTGTTGAGAGTCGTCGATCTCCAACTTCAGAAGTTGCTCGAAGTAGAGTTCCCGCACTGACACCAGCAGGGATTCAAGGCTTGTTTAGCCCAAGTTTGAGTTGCCTTCCAAAATCCCCATAGTAGAGACCCCATTACAATTTGAGGAATCTTCCTGAACTAAGGGATTTTGGAAGGTCTCAACCCTAAACCCTATAGATCCCTTACAGGAGCCCTTCTAGTACCCTATAAAGGAACCCTTAAAGGAACCCTAAACCCGACCCATTTCGGAAGGTCTGGGTACTTGGAGGGTCGGGGGACTTAGTAAGTAGGCAGTGTAAGTAGACTTATAAGTACCCTAAAAGGGACCCTAATTGGGGTTATGGTACTTATCAGTCTCTAAAATAACCAGTTACTAAGTCCCCCGACCCTCCAAGTACAGTTTCCTGGCTGACTTCACCCCTCCTAAAAGTTAGACTTGTGGCCTCCTTGCCATAGTTCACTAGACCCAAGAGTAGCCTAGGAATAAAAAGGGTGCCCTTTTTGGTTTAAAGGGTGTTATAAGGGAACCTAAACCCTAAAAAAGGGAATAAGGGCCTACTCCGGATCCTAGTTCATGTACAAACACATGAAGTTAAAGCCCTAAGAGCCAACCAGAAGAACACCAAGGTAAAGTTTAGTCAGCAGTGCCCTAAATAGTAGGATCCTCATGATAAGGACCCCAAAATAAAGTACCCCTAGTTTTCGGAAACCCCCATTTGGGGGTACAGTTTAGTTGTACCAGGATCACGATTAATCCCTTAATTAAGCAATATACCTTAATTCATAGTAGGGACCCTAAACCCCTAAACCCTATAAATCCCTTGAAGGAGCCCTTATACTACCCTCAAAGGGAACCCCAAACCCTAAAACCCTAAACCTGAAACTCTAAAACCTTAAAACCCTAAAACCCTAAGCCTTCAAACCCTAAAACCCTAAGCCCTAAAACCCCAAGACCCTTTAAAGGACCCCCTTTAAAGGAACCCTTATAGTAGAAGCCAGAAAGTTGGAACATGGCTTTAGGAGGATTAGCGCTAGGATCCTTTGTGCTGTACCTTAAGGGCATGGGGATAATGATGTTCCAACTTCTTGGCTTCTACTATAAAGGAACCCTAGGTCTGGGCGATTTTTTCAGACCTCCGCCTTGAACTCCTCCGCCAGGGCGGAGGGCTTAGGAGCGAGGGCTCGGGTTCTTAGGGGTTCCTTTAAAGGGCTCCTAGGGGTTCCTTTAAAGGGTTCCTAGGGGTTCCTTTAAAGGGTTCCTAGGGGTTCCTTTAAAGGGTTCCTAGGGGTTCCTTTAAAGGGTTCCTAGGGGTTCCTTTAAGGGATCTCTAAAGGTTGTTTAGGGATTTTGGTTTTTGGGGTTCGATTTCCTTTCAAGTTTACAGGGAACTCCAGAAAGTTGGAATATGGTTTCATGGTAGGATACCCTATAATTTACCATAGAAGGGTTAGGATAATCATATTCCAACTTTCTGGCTTTTACCTTTAAAGGGTTCCTAGGGGTTCCTTTAAAGGGGTACTATCAGGCTTCCTTTGAGGGATTTTGGGGTTCAGGGTTTTGGGGTTTAGGGCTCCGAGGGTTCCTTTACTTGGAGGCCCTTTTGACTTAGTAAGTAGGGGTTCCTTTAAAGGGGTCCTAAAAGGGATCTATAGGGGTTCCTTAAAGGAATCTATAGGGTTTAGGGTTTAGGGGTTACTTGGAGGCCCTGTTGACTTAGTAAGTAGGGTTAGTAAGGTGGGTTATGGGGATTATAATGGGGTTTCTAGGGGATACTATATAGACTTACTAAGTCAAAAGGGCCTCCAAGTACAGAGTACTATTATAAGGCTTCCTTTGAGGGATCTGCAGGGTTTGAGGTTTAGGGTTTTGGGGTTCAGGGTTCCTAGGGCTTCCTTTGAGGGATCTCTAGGGTTTAGGGTTTAGGGTTTTAGGGGTTTGGGGTTTTGCCTTTAGGGTTTTGGGATTTAGGCTTGAGGACTAAGGGTTTAGGGTTTACGGTTGAGGGCTTGCCTGTATCCCCAAACCCTACAAAATAGTTGGTCATGACCGCTTAGTTATAGGGCATAACCCCTGAAACAATGAGTTTTTGGTAGAGTCTGAACACCTCCCCACCCCCCTTCCTTGCCATTGGCGCCTCCTTCAGGAAGCCCTTGAGATTCTCCTCCGCACCAGGTAAGGCTTGAAGGATCCAACAGGTATAGACGGGATGAGTTTGCAACGCGGTGATTTTTTTCAAGTTTATGTCCGGGTCCAACTCTCAAAATACCCTTTAAAGGAACCTTTATCGCATCCTTTAAAGGAGCCCTAAAAAAACCTATAGATCCCTTAAAGGAACCCCCAAAGGTCTGCGCTGTCAGTTTGTGAACTTGCCAAAAACCTTGCATACGACATCTCCACGACGAGGGCTTGGTGTCGACATCGGGCACATCCAAAAAAGGGGCCTACATGTGAGCTTCAGAAGATATAGGGGGCCCTAATAGACCCCTAAACCCTAAACCCTTAAACCCTTAAACCCTAAACCCTAAACTCTGACCCCTCAAACCTTAAACCATAATAACCCCCTAAACCTTAAACCCTAAACTCTTACCCCTTAAACCCTAAACCCTAAAAACCCCCTAAACCCTAAACCCCTAAACCCTAAACCCTTAAACCCTAAACCCTAATAACCCCCTAAACCCTAAACCCTAAACCCTAATAACCCTAATAACCCCCTAAACCCTAAACCCTAATAACCCCCTAAACCCTAAACCCTTATAACCCGCTAAACCCTAAGCCCTAAATCGCGGGGATCCCACAACAAAACCAGTCAAGGTGCCTGCAGGGGTCCCTAAAGCCTCACAAACCCAGAAGCTGTCGACTCCAAGGAATCCCCCAATCGGCTTAGAGTTTAGGGTTTAGGGTTTAAGGTTTAGGGTTTAGGGTTTAAGGTTTAGGGTTTAGGGCTTAGGGTTTAGGGTTTAGGGTTTAGGGTTTAAGGAGGAATGAAGTTTAGGGAAAGATGCAACAGGCCAGGACATGCGAAGCAAGCTTGGAACATTTGCACGCTTCTGGACGATGGCAGCCAAGATCGCTACCCTAAACCCTGAACCCTAAACCCCTAAACCCTAAACTCCTAAACCCTAAACCCTGAACCCCAAACCCTAAACTCCTAAACCCTAAACCCTAAATCCAAGACTCTTCGCTGCAGGAGCAGCCTGCAAGCCACAAGACACTTGCCGCACGGTTCATGCTCTGAGTTGTCTTCAGAGTTATCAAGTGCACAGCGTGTCACGGCACCTTGAGCTCCTGACGCGAGCTGGGGATGCATGCCTGCGCGCTCTGTTTCCTCACCAGCCCCCACGTTGAAAACGGAATGCCCTGTTGTCTTCTTGACGGTGAAGCTACCGACACCACAGTTGGTGGACGCAACTGCGGTCTTCGACAACAGTTCAGCCAACGATCCTGCACTTGTCCCAGGAGCCAGCCTTTCAGCAGGTGCGGTAGCTAGCGCCCCTGTCCTCATGAACAAATGTTCTGGGGTCGTACCCATGGCTGTCCCGAAGAATTGCTTCATCTGGATGAACGAAAGCATTGCACTCTGCCTTCCAGTCCCCATCAGCGACCCGATGCGGTCGAGAGAGATTGCAAGTCTCCCAGACCCCGACCTTCCAAAATCCCTTAACTAATTAAAGAATATACCTCGCAAAATCCCTTAATTATTTAAAGAACATACCTCCATTCATCGTAGGGATCCTATTGTATTTTGGGGAATATTCTTGAATGCAGGGATTTCGGAAGGTCTGGGGAAGCTTCAGCGGCCACGCACCGCGGGCGCCGAAGATTCCATAGGCTTTAGGTCTTAGCTGTTAGGGTTTTGGGGTTTGGGGTTTAGGGTGTAGGGTTTATAGGGTTTTGGGTTTGGGGTTTATAGGGTTTTGGGTTAAGGGGGGCTGAAGGCTCAGGGTATGGGGTTTATAGGGTTTAGGTCTTAGCTGGTAGGGTTTTGGCCTCCCTGTATAATTCAAGGAAAGTTGCTCAAGTAGGGGTTTAGGAATCTCTGGCACTGTCGAAACGAAATCGTCAAACTCCTAGACCCTAAGACAAAAAACACGTTCATCCGTTCAGTAGACAATCCCTTAAACCCTAAACCCGGATACCTTGAAACCCTAATGCCCTGATACCCGAATGTCCTCATACCTTAGTACCCTAGTCCCCAATATCCTTGTGCCGTATACCCTACTGCCCTAATGCCTTAAGGCCCTCATGCCCCAATACACGAATACCCAAACACCCCGATACCGTGGTACCCTCATACCCTGAGCCTTAAAACCCCCTTAACCCTAAACCCTAAACCCTAAACCCTGAACCCTAAACCCTCAACCCGTAAACCCTAAACCCTCAACCCTAAACCCTTAACCCTAAACCCTAAACCCCTAAACCCTGAACCCTCAACCCTCAACCCTAAACCCTTAACCCTAAACCCTTAAGACCCCTAAACCCTACGCTGAGCCTCAAACTGCCAAACCCCAAAACCCAACTTCACCTCGAGATCAGTCATGGGCTTTTCCAGGGCCCGCTGGCAACCAACCTGCTTTTGCCCAGAGAGCCCCGGGTTCCTTTAAAAGGGGTCTAAAAGGGATCTATAAGGGATCTATAGGGATTACGTAGGGTTTCCGATATCCCTTAGGCTTAAATTATAAGGGGCTTCATACTATGATTTAAGCTATATTCCTTAATTAAGGGGTATTGGGCTCTCTGGGTGAGGGCTTTGGGATGTTTAGGGTTTAGGGTTTGGGATTTAGGATTTAAGGGGATTTGAGGGTTTAGGGCTTAGGAGTTCAAGGTTTAGGGTTTAGGGTTTGGGATTTAGGATTTAAGGGGTTTGAGGGTTTAGGGCTTAGGAGTTCAAGATTTAGGGTTTAGGGTTTGGGGTTAGGGGTTTAGAGTTTAGGGTTTGAGTTGTGCTGCAGGAGAGCCGCGTTTCGGTTTTATTCTGTAGGGCTTCGGACTGAAGGGTTTAGGGATCTATAGGGGTTCCTTAAGACTTGTGATTACGTATAACCCCAATTATTAAGGTACTTGTAACTAAGTCCCATGAACCTCCAAGTACCGGCAAAACCCATACACTGCAGTGTTCCTTTAACAAGGTCTCTAACTGAAACGGTGCTATATGATGCTACTATGGTTCCTTTAAAATAAGGTCTCTACTTAAAGGGGAGCTATATTGTGCTACGACTATAGGGGTTTTACGGGCTTACTAGTGGGTTTTTAATGTAGGGACCTTGACATCTTGAATCGGGTTATGCAGGGTTTCTTATGGTTTTTAAAGGCCGAATAAGGTCTCGCGCAAGGACTTTAATGAATTGAATAGGGGTTGCGCGGTATGTTCTAGCACGACTTATACGGGCCATGGAGGGACAGTATGATATGTATTACTTTGTTGGTCTTGCTCAAATCCATGCGGAAGGGCGCGCCCGCGGACGTGGATGTGAACGCGCCTCATATTCAAGTGCCCCTTCACGATCTCGTGCAAGCGGCCCGTTTCTGAAACTCCATCGTCGCGTCTCTTCAAGAAGGAACGTGCCTTGATTGCTGAGCGCTGGTTTCGCACCAAGCTCATCAGTGAATGCAATGTGAAACTATGCGGAAGTTGAAACTGTATGGAAGGTGCTCGGGGTCTTCATTTTAGAGGCACTTCGACCACTTCGGCTCGTAAAGCGGTCTTAGCACGAAGGGTGTGGAGGAAGGACAGGTTCCTCCCGAACCCCTTCAGCCACATCGCAATCCAGGCTGTTTAGGGTCTAGGGATTTAAGGTTTAGAATGCACGGAAGATACAGGTTCCCCTGGAATCCATAGCCTTGAACCCGCAGCCGCGTTCACTGGCCCTGGTGAAGAAGCAGGGACTGGAGCCCAATCCGTAATTCGTCAGCCTCAAAATCCTCTAGAACCCCAGCTACATCCAGAAGTCTAGGTCCAAACTTAAACCGGAAAACCTAAATCCCTAAACCCCAGGCCCTAAATAGCACAAGGCACCCAAGCCTAAGAAAAGCCTAATACGGGAGTTTCGGAAAATAGGGGACCCCAACATAGTACCCTGAATAGTAGGATCCATATAATAAGGAACCCAAAATATGGTACCCCTAATTCTCGGAAACTCCCAACCCTAAACCCTAAACCCTAAACCCTAAACCCTAAACCCTAAACCCTAGGCCCTAAACCCTAAACCGTTCCTATATTATAGGAACCTGACACCCTGGTTCCTTTGTCACACATTGTATGAGTCCTACTATATTGGGGCTACAGAGCCAGGGTGTCTTAATCACCCAGACCTTCCAAAATCCTTTAGTTCAGAAATATACCTTCAATTATAATAGGATCCCGAATATGAACTAAGGTATATCCCTCAATTACGGGATTTTGGAAGGTCTAAACCCTACCCTAAGGGTCCAGGTATCTCCTTACTTAAAGGATCATGGGACTTAGTAAGTGGGGTTATAACTAAGGCACCTATATTTAGAAGTACTTATAACCCCATTTAAGGCAATTATAACCATACTTACTAAGTCCCATGATCCTCCAAGTAGGAGGGTCCGGAATGTCCGAGGGAGAGTCCTTGGGTCTCTTTGGGGTCTCTTAGGGTTTAGGGTTTAGGGTTTAGGTTCCCCAATTTGTTAGGACCCTCAGGGTAAACCCTATAGATCCCTTTAAGGGAGCTCTTCTGGTACCCTTTAAAGGAACCTTAGGAACCCTACCTTAGGGTTTAGGGTTTAGGGTTTAGGGTTTAGGGTTTAGGGTTTAGGGTTTAGGGGTTTAGGGTTTAGGCTTATCCCTTATTTCAGGGATTTGGGGAAGGTCTGGGTTCCTACATTACTTGGAGGGTCTGGGGGACTTAGTAACTGGTTCTTTTAGGGGCTTATAAGTACCATAACCCCAATTAGGGTCCCTTTTAGGCTACTTATAAGTCTACTTACTACCTACTTACTAAGTCCCCCGACCCTCCAAGTACGGCCAACGCAAGCCTCAACGCTTAACTAGGATGCCCAGTGGCTTAGGGTTTAGGGATTAGGGTTTAGAGTTTAGGGTTTAGGGTTAGGGTTTAGGGTTAGGGTTTAGGGTTTAGGGTTTAGGGTTTAGGGTTTAGGATGCCCAGTAACCTAAAAACAAAGAGGGCTCCCTTTTTGGTATTGGGTAATTTCTAGAAGAAACCTAGGACTACAAAAAGGGAACAAGGGTACTACTGGGCATATTAGTTAAAATTGCAGCGCGAAAAAGTCAAAAAGGCCCAGATCTGACGACCCCTAACCCTAAAACCCTAAAACCCTAAACCCCTCAACCCTAAACCCTAAACCCTAAACCCTAAACCCTAAACCCTTAAACCCTAAAGCCCTAAGAGTTGAGGCTTCAGGGTTTAAGGCTTAGGGTTTAGGGGTTTAGAACTTTAGGGCTTAAGGTTTTAGGGTTGAGGGGTTTAGGGCTTTAGGGTTTAGGGGTATAGGGGTTTAGGGTTGAGGGGTTTAGGGTTTTAGGGCTTAGGGATTTGGCTTTTAGGGGTTTAGGGTTTGGGGTGTAGGGTTTTAAGGTTTAGGGTTTACGGGTTTAGGGGTTTAGCGGTTTGGGACTTAGGGCTTTTAGGGGTTTAGGGTACAGGGTCTCTGGTTCGCAGCGAACCGTTCAAGCCCCCAGCCCTCAAAGCCCGAATGCCTCGTACTAAACAGATGCTGAACTTCTCACAATACATATAAACAGTTGGAACAACTCCACTCAGGGGGCTTAACTTGTATTCCTTCTCGGGTTTAAACACCTATGAAGGTGTAAAATGCCACCCAACTATGACAAAAAGCGGGCAAAAAATAGAAACCCGAGTACATTCGCGCTCTTTCCCTAAACCCCAAATGCCCAAACCCCTAAACCCCGAAACCCTAAACCCGAAACCCCTAACCCCTAAACCTTGGGGCGTGAAACATTCAGCCTCCACTCCGGTACCTCGCTTCATCTCCTGGATGGCAGACAGGGAATGTTAGGGCCCAAAGCTTGGAGAGAGGGGCCTTGCAGGTATTTTCTTTATGGGCTCTTTGCCAGAGGGCTTAGGATTCAGGTCTAGGGCTTATAGGGTTTAGGTTTGGGATCTACTACGTAACGACTTCTAATTACTGCTACACGCCACCGACACTGCCGCTGCTGAGGCTAATGCTCCTCATCCTCCCAGTCCTCCTTCTCCTCCTCCTCCTCCTCCTCCTCCTCCTCCTCCTCATCCTTCTCGTATATATTCTGCTAGCATACCCAGTAACCTAAGAATAAAAAGGCCTCTCTTTTTGGTATTGGGTAACTTTATAAGGAACCTAGGACTACAAAAAGGGAATAAGGATACTACTGGGCATCCTAGTCTGATGCTACGACGACGACTTCTGCTGCTACTGCTGTCCGCTTGCAGCAGCCGCCAGAGTCGCAGTGGGGTGGCTGTGTGGGTTGGAAGCCCTTTTGACTTAGTAAGTAGGGCTAGTAAGGTGGGTTATGGGGATTATAATAGGGTTTCTAGGGGATACTAAGTAGACTTACTAAGTCAAAAGGGCCTCCAAGTGGGTTGGAAGCAACAGTAGCACTAGGGTGGCTATTGTGGTCAGCTACAAAGGGCTTGGGGATATAGACCCTTTCAATAAGGTCCCTGTTACGAGAGTCAGAAGCAGGGTAAATTAAGAAGGGTCCCTAAACCCCAAACACTAAACCCTAAACCGTAAATCCCTCAACCCCTAAACCCTAAACCCTCAACCCTGAACCCTAGACCCTAAAACCCAAATTGCACGTTGTCGTTTGGTTCCTTCAGTGAGCAGGCGAGCCTCATGAGCATCCAGGTGCCATACTGTGCCGGATGGCATTGCCTAGTCCATTATAGCACGCTCGCTTACAATGTAGTAGAATACATTATAGTGTGTGTTATAGTGATTTAGAGTATGGTATATAGTACGGTGTGTTGTAATATACTATATAGGTCGCTATAGCATGTTAGAGTCAGTATTCTACAGTATATAAGGGCCCGCGGGCAGCGCCCATCATCGAATCAGCATCAGCTTTGACTAGGACATGTGGGCAGCCAGCATCCGCTGCATTCTGGCTGCGGCATGCATGCAGCGAGCATCCTTAGCATCAGCAGCCATAAAGCGCACGAGACAGCTTTGTCTTGTTGGGAACTGTGCAGCGAGGATCAGGAGCATCATGAGCATCAGAAGCAGCTTCGGTGCTCCAGATGGATTGTCATAGGGATCCTTAGGGGTGTAGGGGGAGGGGGGGTAGGGGGCCTTAAGGCCCATAATAAGGACTAATAAGGCCTATTTAAGGAAATATAGTCCCCTACACCCGTCCCCCCTACACCCCTAAGGATCCCTATGAGGAAACAGCAGTGGGAAGCATAATCATCAGCCACTATCGTGTGCTGGCTGGCTTTGTTTGGCTGGGGCATGTGTGCAGCGGGCATGAGCATCGACCGCCATCGAGCTGTAGCTGGTTATGGCTGGGCCACACATGCAGCGAGCATCGGGGGCCACAGGCGGCATAGAGTGTTAGCTGGTTTTTGCTGCAGCACGTATGCAGCGAACATCATAATCATCAGCAGCCACGAACCTTCGGATGGCGTGCGTTGCGGCACAACTCAGGAGCATTATGATTATCAGCAGCCTGGCTAGGGCACAGGTGCAGCTAGCATCATGAGCATCAAGAACCAAAGTGTGCTGGATGGGTCTGTCTGGCGCACGCTTGCAGTGAGCATCTTGAGATATCTTGCGCATCATCAGCCACGGTGTGCTACTGCAAGTTGTTAGATGCACACGCAGCACACATCATGAGCATCCGCTGCCAGAGTAGGTCGGCATCAAGCGCCATAGTGTGCTGTCAGGCTAAGAGCCCGAACGGCTAGGGTAAGCCTGCAGCACGCATCACGAGCATCAGACGCAATGGTATGCTAGATGGTTTTGTCTATGGCACACTTGCCGCGAACATCATGAGCATCAGCAGCCATAGCGTCACCTGCACCCAGCATGATGAACAGTAGCAGCCACGGTGTGCAACGCGCATCCTGAGCATCATCCGCAATAGGTTGCCAGCTGACTTTGGCTATGCCACATGTACAGCAAGCATGGTTTTGTAAGTATAGAACACACATGTACGTACAAGTGCAGGCATACATACAGGCAAGCGCGCGCACCAGCCTGCCTGCTTGCCTACTTGCCTGCCTGCCTACCTACATGCATGAATGCATGCACGAATACACGAGTGCATGCATGCACAGTATAGAGGTGCATGCATACGCTGATGGACATATCATGCATTCATATATAACTTTGTTCAATGGTTTGCATGAGTCTTGAATGTACACAAACTTTTGTCTCTATGCATTTCTTTCCGGGCAGTGACAAGAACCATACAGGAATGGTCAATGATACAGAACAGTGACCTCCCCGACACACCTTCACTGCTTTTATCACATGCAAGGTACTTCGACGAAACGGCGAGACAAGTTTCAAAACGGTGAAAATCTCGATTACGCCACCAAACTTAAAGCAAACACACCAGAAACCTGAACCATCTATCAACCTAGAAACTATGACAGAACAACTCGTACAAAGACAACAACAAAAACCAACCCGTAACTTCCTAAACCCTACACCCCAACCACCTTAAACCCTAAACCCTGAACCTAAACTTCAACCCTACACTTCTTAAACCCTTAAAACCCTTACAAACCCTGAGCACCGAAGCGTGGCTCTCCTCCAGCACAACTCAAAGGATGCAAAAATCCTCAGATAATCCGGATCCCCACCCTAAACCCTAAACCTTAAACCCCAAACCCTAAACCCTAAACCTATTCAACAAAAAAAACCTAAACCTTAAACCCTGAAGTTTTCAGGGCCAGCTGACAGCCCAGAAGAGGCCCTAAGACTCAGATCCTAAACTCTAAACCCAACCCAAACCTAAACCCAAAACCCTAAACTCTAAACCCAACTCTACCCTATAGACCTTAAACCCTAAACCCCAAACCCTAAACCCAACCCAACCCAACCCTAAACCTTAAACCCTAAACCCCAAACCCTAAAGTCCTAAAGATCTAAAGATCCCGAAGCCCCAAAATCTCCTGCAGCACGTGGTCGAACCTAAACCCCTAAAACCTACAGATCCCTTAAAGGAACCCTTATAGTACCCTTTAAAGGAATCCTTATAGTACCCTTTAAAGGAATCCTAGGAACCCTCAAAGGAAGCCTTATAGTACCCTTTAAAGGAATCCTTATAGTACCCTTTAAAGGAATCCTAGGAACCCTCAAAGGAAGCCTTATAGTACCCTTTAAAGGAATCCTTATAGTACCCTTTAAAGGAATCCTAGGAACCCTCAAAGGAAGCCTTATAGTACCCTTTAAAGGAACCCTTATAGTACCCTTTAAAGGAATCCTCGCTCCTGCAGCACATGGTCAAACCTGGGCTCGATCCCCGCCAGGAACCGCTCCGTGGCTTCCTCGCTTCGACGCTGCGGAAGGGCTCTGAGGATTTATTTTAAAGGGTGCCTTTAATTAAGGGCTCCTCTAAGGGATCTGTAGGGTTTAGGGTTTAGGGTTTAGGGGTTTAGGGGTTAGGGGTTTTCAACTAGGGGTTTAAGGTTTAGGGTTTTATAATGGCTTGATTTAGGGTTTGGGGTTTAGGGCCAAGCTTCTTGAATTAGGCTGACATGCTTTTCTTAGAATTAAACTCCTAAACAGGAACTCAGTATTCCTCACCAGGAACGGCTCATAGACCCCTTTGCAACAACCCTTCAAGGGAACCTTTGAGGGATCTACAACTTATACGAGGTTATAAGTGCCTTAAATGGGGATATAAGTACTTATAAGTATAGTAACCTTATTTATAACCCCACTAAGTCCCATGACCCTTTAAGAAGGGTTCTTGGGTACTTCGGGTCGCGGGTCTCGGTTGTAAGTCTTTAGGGAGAAGACTTTTTAGGTTTCTACCTCAGGACTTGTAGAGGTCCCACATGTGCAACTACGTCATAGTTCAGCTCGACCGTCATCTTGTTGATGTAGTCCAGGAACTTGTCAACCCGGTATATTCCATCCGGGCCCAGTGGCATTACGGAAACCCAATCATGCACACGTGTGATGGTGTTTGGCTGCCATAAGATTCTTGCCGCAATGATAACGTGAAGACGCAGTGTCATCACGCGCTCGTGGTTGTCACGCAAACCCTCCATACTCTGCACGCCAAACGCGTAACAGTCGCCAAAGGCTCCTCTGTCAGGTTTTGTGCACTGTCGTATGAGCTGCTGCTGACAAGCCGCGTGGGCACTCTTCGTTTGTTCAGTAAGGGTTTAGGGTTTGGGGATTTAGGGGGTTTGGGCGGTTTAGGGGGTTTAGGGGGGTTTAGGGCGGTTTAGGGGGTTGGGGGTTTTATATAGGTTTGAGGTTTTGGGGTGTTAGGCCCAGGTCTAGGAGTGTAGAGTTGAGATTTAAGCTCGAAGGTTAAGCTTGAGGATTTAAGGTTTGGGGCTTACTGTTAGTTGAGGTTTAGGGCGGTGCATTCTCTACGACTCTCAAATTCAGGATGCAGGGCTTGGGGAGGTAAGGCCGTTATATGGGTTAGGTAGGCCGCCGTCGTCCTAACCGTGATGCCCTAAACACTACATACCTCATCCCACTAAACACTACATACCTCATCCCACACGTGTCAGGTCCTCTGCAGCACCACCTCATCAAGAGATTTCATGAATGGCTTGGCATAAGTCACTGGTTTCTTGCTCCAGGACTCTTGGGTTTAGGGCTCAGGGTCCGGAGTGGATCAGTGCTTGTTTCATTGAGCGGTTTTGGGATTTCATGAGGGTTCCATTAGGGTTCCATGTGGGTGTCTAGCGTTTCGGGATCAGGGGGTTCAATGCTTCAAGTCTTGATGCCTGAAGTGCCGACAAGGTGCTAAACCCCAAAAACCGCAAACCATAAACTCCAAATCTCAAAGCTTAAAGTATGGCTGAGGGCTAGTAGACAGGCACGACGCAGGAATAAAGAATAGAAGTGCTCCAGATCTACATAAAGCCACTGCAAAAAAACTGACAAAAACCTGTGAAACCTTTACGAAATCCCTATGCCCTAAACCCTAAACCCTAAGCCCTATTGAAGGGCTTCTGAAACCTTCTGGAGCCATCTTGAAAACCCCAATCAAACCCCGAGGAAACCTTGAAGAAGGCCGTCTAAACCCCAAGGCTCACAACTCTAAACCCTAAACCATAAACTCTAAACCCTAAACCCCTAAACCCTAAACTCTAAACCCTAAACTCTAAACCCTAAACTCCAAAACCCTAAACGAGTTCAAGCCCCATGGTCCGAAAACCAGGCACTCTCCGTGAAGCCCAAAACTCAAACGCCTCGTCCTGGAACCCGAACCTTAACTGCTATCCCTACACCCTAAACCCTCCACGGTTTAGGGTTTAGGGGGGCCGAATCGCCTGAATCGGTTTTGGCCCGTGTTGCCATACAAGTATTGAGCGACTATGTGGGGAGGCTTTTTTCTAATTATTCAAACTCCTACACGCTATCAAGGCCTCAAGCCTTCAGTCTTCGGGGTCCTGGGGCTACTGCCCTAAACCCTAAACCCTAAACCCTAAACCCTAAACCCTAAACCCTAAACCCTAAACCCTGAATCAAGGGACCCTCTCCAGAGGGTTTCGGCTTTAGGGTGTTGGGAAAGGCACAGAATGAGTTCTGCTTGTTCTATAGAGACCGCACATGCCAATGCAGGAATTCCAAAACTTCAAGGTACTTCCCTCGGCTTTAGGTTCCCTGAGCGTGACTGTGGCCGTAAGCCCTTTAGCCTGAAAACAGTGCGCACAGAAACCGTCATAGTCACCGGTATTGAGTTGGTCCTACCCCCTAAACCCGTAAACCCCGAAACCGAAACCCCTAAACCCGAAGAGCTAAAAAGGAAACCCTGAATCCCTAAACCCTAAACCCTAAAATCCGTAAACTCCGAAACCCCTTAACCCGAAGCCCTAAACCGCGCGAGGTCTTAACACCCCAAGAGAAAAAAGCGTTCGCCCATCACGAAGCCCCGCTTAGAGGATCGGGGGACGGTTTAGGGTTTAGCGGGACTTAGTAAGTAATATTTTCAAGTGAAGAGCAATTACCTCAATCGGGGCTATCAGCGATAAGTACTGATAAGTATGGTTACCAAATGCAAAAGCTTACATACTATATAAGTCCCATGATCCTCCAAGTTTCGCCACTGTAAACCCTGTAGATCCATTTAAGGAGCCCTATAGATCCCTTGAAGGAGCCTTTCAAGGAACCTTACTTACTACTGATGATCCCCCAAGTATAAGCATGATGGGAGACCAAAAGGGGGGTTTAAGATTCTTGGGGTAGGGGTCCTTTAATATAAACCCTATTATGGGAACCCTAATCCCTACTAAACCCCCATAGGCTAAAACCCCTTTTGGCCTCCTATGAAAGCAAAGATCCTTTTAAGTAGACCCTAAACCCTAAACCCTATAGACCCCTTTTAAGGAACCCCCATAGATCCCTTTTACGGAGCCCTATGGATCCCTTTAAGGATCCTTTAATCCAGTTTTGGGAAACCCTGGATCGCTAAATTCTCGCCGTCCCCTCCGGGCCAGCGGCGTGCAGCGGCTTTCGACGTGGCACGGGCTTGGGCGCCCTGCAGAATTCTGCGTAAGACCACGTTACCGGTTTAGGGTTTAGGGTTTAGAGTTTAGGGTTTAGAGTTTAGGGTTTAGGGTGTAGGGTGGGGACCAAGTTAGGATTCGCATGAGATGTTGTAATGTATACAGTATGCAGCTTCCGTCCCGGTACATACAACCCTTCGTACAAGCACCCATGAGATAGAAGCAGAATTTGCAAGCATCCCCTTGTTCTCTTAGTAGAGCGCAGGCGCACTAAACCCTCGACCCTCAACCATGAACCCTGTAGCCCCTACATCTTGAAACCGAATATACTAGGATACCCAGTAACCTAAGAATAAAAAGGCCTCTCTTTTTGTTATTGGGTAACTTTATAAGGAACCTAGGACTACAAAAAGGGAATAAGGGTACTACTGGGCATCCTAGTACACCATTAGCCCCAAGAAAGCATGATCAACTGTGACTAGGAGTCCCCCGAACCACATTGACAGAAAACAATTGCAGGCCGGAGAACCATGAATTCTTACCGGGTTTATGGCTCTGGAGCTTTAGGGTTTCAGGATTTTGGCGGCTAGGGTTTAGGCTTCAGGGATTTAGGATTTCGGGTTTAGGATTTTAGTCCCATGCAGCATGGGTTTGCACAAGCGACCGGGGTTGTTGCGATAAAGCCCTCATCCTTGAACCCCAGACCTCACTGAGACTGGATTCTTGTTAAGGGATTGAACTTAAGTTACCATAACAAGGAATCCATATTGTTCACTGTAGACACCTATCATGGTATCCTAAAACAGAGTCCTCAACAAGAACCCAGAAGACATCTAGCAGCTCGAAACTTTCATCCTCTGACCATGAACCCAAAGCCCTACCCGAAACCAGAAGGCCCCAAAGCTTCTTCGACAAAACAAAACCAAAAACCAACTCTACACACACCTATATGTGCAATGTATATGTGTATCCATGCATACATACATGCATGTATGTATGTGTGTGTATGTGTGTATGTAAAAGAATGGCCTAATCTAGTATTTATAACCTAATATCTGCCTTACCTCTCCGAAAGAACCCTAAGGGTCCAAGTACCTAATAATCATATACTCTCTTAAATATTGAGCTACATAACTGTTATCCTACACCCAAGTACCTAATTATTGGATCCTTTGGACCCTTAGGGGAAGCATCACAGAGAACATCCCTGAAAGTCCCATCCTCGCCCCCAAAGTTCTTGTTGGACTTGAGCTTGTCCTGGCGCGCCGTTGGGTTCGAGCCACGGTTTAGGGTTTAGGGTTTAAGGGCTTTTACCGCTTCGGGGGTGTGAACCTAAAAAGGTGTTTACGACCCCTATCAAGACACTTGTCAAGACACTTAAAGCCTTACTAAGTGCAATGACCCTTTAAGCACCAAATCTGACAACCACCGCAAACGAAGCACAAAAATCTTGACAAAGAACCCAAGGGTAAAAGGAGGGACCCTTAATAAGGCCCCTAGGTATATACCCTTAATATAGCGATTATATACCCACTACATGCCCATTATAGGGTAGGGGTCCCCATTAAGGGTCCCTCCACTTCCCCTTTGAAAGAAAGCATAGCAAAACACAAAAGCCCGGCAGGCCTAAACTCTGAACCCTCAGCCATGCATCCAAAGCCCTGAAGTCCAAGCCATAAACCCAGAACCCTAAAACCGTAACCCCAAACTTGTAGTATCCTTAAGGGAGGGCGGTCCAAGGGGGGTATATAGCCTAGTGAACCCTAATTCTCCGTAGTACTCCCTAAGGTTCCCTTACAATCCCCTAAGGATTCCTTATACCCTCCTCCCTTGAACCACCCTCCCTTAAGGATCCTATAAGCAACCCCAAACCCACAAAGCCTTTGAACCCTAAACCCTAAAAGACCCTTGTGAAAAACATAACCTTACGAGACTCTCATGAAGCCCTATGCACCCTTTTTTAAAGCACTGAAACACCCCCACCCTTCCTGGGCAGCCCTCTAAGACGTAAAACCCTATTAATAAGGGTTTGGGGTTTAATGTACAAACCCGGTTAACAAACCCTGGGCCTATAACCCCAAAAAAGTAGGACTCATACAAGGAACCCCAATAAAGGCCCAAGGTTTCTTAATCAGGTTCCTACATTCGATTCTATCCCCATCTACATCTTGCCAAGCCCCTAAAGCCTTCACGACGCAAAATATCGGAACTGATTCTCTTGGGCCCATATAAAACCCGGAATAGAACCCTTTCTAACAACAAAAGACAACCTTTAAAGGAAACCCCCATGCCCAAAACTGAAACCCTCGAAAACCAATCACAAAAGATAACATTTGGGCCTCTATCCTAAATCCTAAACTTCACTTAGCCCTTCAAGGAGTCCTGGAAGGAATCGTTGAAGGAACCCTTAAAGGAAGCCTGATAGAAACCCTAAAGATCCCCCTAGAGGATCCCTTGAACAAACCCTTAATATGTAGATCCCTTACAGGACCCCCTAACGGATCCCTTAAAGGATCCCCTAAAGCCTTCCTTGAGGGGGACCCTAAAATAGAACCCCATAGTACCCATCAAGGGGACCCTCTGCTATCGATCCCCCAAAGCATCCCTTAAAGGACCCCTTTAAAGGAACCCTAAACTCCCTTAAAGGACCCCTTAAACCCTTAAAGGAACCCTAAACTCCCCTTCAAGAATCCCTTAAAGGAACCCTTAGAGGAATCCTAAACTTCCTTAAAGGACGCCTTAAAGGAACCCTAAAGTCCATTCAAGCACCCTTTAAAGAATCCCTTAAAGGAACCCTAAACTCCCCTTAAAGAATCCCTTAAAGGAACCCTACACTCCCCTGAAAGGACCCCTTTAAAGGAACCCTAACCTACTCCCCTAGAGCCTCCTTTAAAGGACCCCTTAAAGGAACCCTAAACTCCCCTTAAAGAATCCCTTAAAGGAACCCCGACCCGGGCCTCCATCAAGACGCCGAGGCGCTGGGCCAAGCGCTCAGCCAAGCGATCCGGGGAATCCTCGGGGTCTGTTTAGGGCTTAGGGTTATTAGGGTTTAGGGGTTTAGGGCTGCAGGCTT